CATACGCCCGATTTAGGCTAGTGGAGTGCAGACAAGGAGGGAAAACATTTTGGTTTTTGAGCGACATTGAACTGACCCAAAACTAAGTACAATCCGAAGCCCCCCTCAACCAGGGATTTCGTGTCTCTTTCCGAGTCGGATTCCGAGCTTGCTGACTATCGATAACGTTGCACCCCACTGTGCGGTTGTTTATTATTTCGCATAGACCGTAATTTATGGTTCCCTTAAATGTGCGTAGTAAACTACAGATGTTTATTTCTTTAGGATTCATTAGGTTCTTTGGCTATGCTTGCTGTTCTTATGGAAACTGTTGGCGACTAATTAATTTTTACCTGGTGGAGTTCTTTATAAGATGAGGTTGCGAATTTCGCATTAAAATTTAGTATTTGGGTATTATTAAGGTCATCCATATTTGGTAGGTTTACTTATCCGGTTTATGCAGACTTGGAATTCAGGTGCATTGACAGGTAGGTGTTGTGAAGTTATTCCTTAACCTCGACAGCCAACTATTAGCACGTGTTGTTTCTGTGTTGGTAATCCAGGAAAAATTATTCGTTGTATCAAACCTTTGGGACTTAATCCAGGAGGAGGTGCCACACGCAATGTTCACCCTTTTTACACTGGGTTCTGGTAGATCACGTGTAGAATAATTAGTTGGTTTTATGAATTTGAACACCGATAGCGGTAGTATCCCTATGAAGGTGCGAACACGTTAAACAAGACCCTAGACAAACGACCGTTTGCCTTTAGGTAAGGAGCGTCACTTATTCATTATTTTATTGTTAACAACTTTAACTTTACTAACCTATGCTAACAAAATTACTGTCAAAACTTACAGGCAACTTACTTATGACACTGTTGATGAAAATTATGATAGGGATTATACAAATTGCAGTCAGACATAAGTCTCCATCTATGGATTAATTTCAAAAATATCTTTATGCCACTGTTGCAGCATAAACTATGAGTAAAATTCAGTTTTTTAGACTTATGACACTGTCGCCCAGGTGCGAAATGTTTTTAAGATATTTAATAGGTTTTTTTACATATTTCGATAAAAAATGACGTTTTTGCGTTGCTGATTTTACGAAACTATTTAAGTAAAATAAATAGTTAAATAAACAATTTTGCCGCTCCACTTTCCAATAAAAAATATAAAAAATTATAATTAATAGGTACTTGATATGAAATATAAAATAAATGTTTTATAGCATTGTGAAAGTATTCAATTTTAATTTTTTACTACTAGCAATTTAAAATGCTATAAAATATTTTTTACACCAAGGATTTTCTAAATAAATTTGTATTTATTAATTTTCGAGTTAAACATACTCAAAATTTATAATTTTTATGGCGGAAAGAAAGACTTCTGCAATATTAATTTATACTAAAATATTGTTAAATAATAATATTATGTTATACCCATATTATGGTGGTCCTTATTTGTATTTGAAATTTTTTGGTGAAATTTGGGCCGTCTCACCCCTTACAAGTTTTATAAATAGGAATATAATAAGCTGTGTAAAATTTGAGCCCGATCAATCAACTCTAAGACCTACCTCAAGGGCCTTGTTTTCAGGGAAGATTTATTTTTTATTATTAAAAAAAGCAACCAAGTTATAAATTTATTGAATTAAAAGTGCTGTTTTACTACTGCTTGGAAATTTCTTACAGTAGCCCTAAAGGAAACAGTTCCTGATCTACCTTTTTTGTTAAAATAATGTAAAATTCTTCCATAAGTTTAACACATCTTTCGGCCGTGTGATTGACAAACTTAAGCTCTTTGACGATCGAGAATTCCTTTTGAAAATCTTCTGGAGATTTCCAAGTAGAGATTTATAATTGGGTGTTTTTTTTTATCGATTGTCAAATTATGGGGATCCAACGGGAAAAAAAAATTCTGACGGCCAAATGTTCATTTAATTTTGAATTAATGCTTGTGGATAATCCAGGTTTAAAGTTGTAAAAATTATCGCCCGAAAATGTACACTAGGGTGATGCAAAAAAATTTTTTTTTTTGAATTCTATGCGAGACCACTCGGGTTTTCAAAGAGTATCAAGAAAATAAAAATCTGTAAAAATTTGAGAGAAATCAATTAAAATTTAGAGGTCGCTCAACGCAATTGTTTAATTTAGAAAAATCACGCATCTCAAATGCATTGCTATAAACAAGTAGGCATATTTCATACAAATTTGAATGAAAATGTTTGAATTTTTTTTTGGTGGACTCTTAATGATTATTTTAATAAATAATGTTGTCCCGATTTCAAAAATTTTTTCATAATATTTAAAAAATTTCAAAGTTGATTTTCTCGCGAACCGTCAAACCGAATTTGGTAATTTTTGTTTTAAAATTGAGGTTTATTTTTTGGTTATGATGCCTTTATAAAAAAATTCTTTTAAATTTAAGTTTTGAGTATATACATATATAACCGTCAAACCGAATTTAGTGATTTTTATAATAAATTGTAGGTTTATTCTTCGGTAATAATGCGTTTATTAAAATATTTGTTTAAATTAACATTTTGAGTATATATAGGGTGCAAGTGTAATAATTAGTTTTTTTCCAGAAATTTGAAACGCCCTGTTGGTTGTACCAGCTATAACAGCATATGTCTCTTACAATCAAACTATAGCCCCATGTTCTCTTAACATTTTGTATTTTTATTTACCGGGTTATCTTTATTTTTAAATGAAATATACATTTAAAGATTAAGGTACCATGAATAGTGTACGATATATCGAGGACATTTTATTTGAGCATGTTGTCCCTTTCGCCCGGTAATAATTTTTTACTGATGCAGGATAATGCTATATAGTGCAAGAGTACTTACATGAGGTGGGTGTTAAAACTTTAGACTGGCCTGCAAATGGTCCGGATCTCAACACCATCGAGCATTTGTGGGATAATATGGGTAGACGACTAAGAAATCATGATTCCTTGCCTGCCTCCCTTGATGACGTAGCAAATATGCTACGAGAAATATGAAATGTCATTGATCAAGACGAGATTAGACATCAGGTTTCGAGTGTGAGCCGTCGATGTGAAGCCGTAATTAGAAGTAGAGGCAGAAATACGCGATATTGATATTCTTTAATGTTGGTTTTATTGATTTTGTTAATATTTTTGTTGTTATTGTTACAATCGTTCTTTTTACATTTTTGTATTAAACTGGAGTTCTTTAATCTTTAACTGTATATTTCATTTAAAAATAAAGATAACGCGGTGAATCAGAAAACAAAATGTTAAGAGAAGATGTGGCTATAGTTTGATTATAAGATACATATGCTGTTATAGCTGGTACAATCCACAGGGCGTTTTAAATTTCCGGGAAAAAACTTATTATCACTCTTGCACCCTGTATATACTCAAAATGTTAATTTAAAAAAATATTTTAATAAACGCATTATTACCGAAGAATAAACCTACAATTTATTATAAAAATCACTAAATTCGGTTTGACGGTTCGCGAGAAAATCAACTTTGAAAATGTGACAAACTTTTAGTGGTGCGTTAAATTTGACGCGAAGTGTAGTTAATTAAAATATTATTTTTTTTCTCATATTTAACGATGGGGCGAGTGTTTTTGTGAATGAATAATTGCTTGTAGACCTATTAACAATGTTTTTACAGATTTTGAAACAAAAAAAAAATTGAATGAATTATTTGTTAACTAAGCTATATTTGCTTATTAATATATATTTTTTAAATATTATGAAAAAATTTTTGAAATCGGGACAACATTATTTATTAGAATATTCATTAAGAGTCCACCAAAAAAAAATTCAACCATTTTCATTCAAATTTGTATGAAATATGCCTACTTGTTTATAGCAATGCATTTGAGATGCGTGATTTTTCTAAATTAAACAATTGCGTTGAGCGACCTCTAAATTTTAATTGATTTCTCTCAAATTTGTACAGATTTTTATTTTCTTGATACTCTTTGAAAACCCGAGTGGTCTTGCATAGAATTAAAAAAAATTTTTTTTTTGCATCACCCTAATGTACACGGGTCAATTCCATTTTTTGGCCGACATTAATTTTTCAAGTGACTGTTAATGACACTAATTGCGTCCGTCTAAAACATCGTTTCTTAACCTCGGGTCGCGACCCAAATTTGGGTCGCGGGCCATATCGAGATGGGTCGCGGGACTTGCGGGACCCATGAAAAAGGGCGCCGTAATCACTGCATCCTTAATTTAAATTAAGAAAATGTAGAAAATTGATGATTTTATTTTTTATCGGGTCGCGAGCTTCTAATATTTTTGAATTGTGGGTCGCCAGCCAAAAAGGTTAAGAACCGCTGGTCTAAAAGGTCGAACTTAACGATACAGACTTCTGTTGTCCGATAGCAGCAGCAGGATCGGCCATTCCCGAAATATATATAAAAGGCAACCCTAGTATATACACAATAAAAAAAATTATAACGTTGTTTTTTTAAGGGAAATCTGTGTTTTGTTCATGAGTTTTATGTATACCGCTAAATCCGCTCAATTTGTTATGCTTTTTTAACAATATTCTTTTGTTTTATATTTTATAGATTTATTTATGTTGTTTTTTAATAAAGATACAAGTGGTTTTTATTCTCTAAAAATATCTTCACTTATTTGGTAAACAATCGCGATTATGTACCCAGGGTTTAATTCAAAACTATCAACTTTCAAACTAATTAAATTAAATTAAACTTTTAGTAACAAGAGTAAATATTTGTGCAACAAAAAAAATAGCTGGCTTGGGATCAGGAAAAATTAATATAGGATTACAAAAATATATATATATATATATATATATATATATATAATTATAATTTATTCATTTCTTTGTAATACTATATTAATTTTATATGAACATGTACAATGTAGGTCCTACATATACATAGACCAATATTATAGGTAGGTACTAATAGTACCATAATATAGTAAATTTATTTCATTATATACACAATAAACAATAAATAACCCAATTAAAATTTATATGGAAAGGGTGGTATTTTTACCTGTAATCTGGCTAATCGCTTCTTCCATGATCTGATACCGGATTGCCAAACTAAATCAAGAACCTCTCTATCGAAATTAACGTCCCAACCTTCATGGGTGATGGCAAAAGAAAAGGCAACAGCCTGATGAGCTTCCGCCATGTGTAATTAAAATCTAAAATAAATTAAACAAATTACTATATTTAAAATAATCCCGCACAGAAAAAGTAAATTTGCGTTTAGATTAATTAATTAAGTATAGGAATTTAAGTAATGTATAAATGTGTATTACCTACATAAAAATAAATGTCATAATTAATGATCTAATTAACAAACAAATAACTTCTAGTAAATAAATAGCTCCAAACTAAAAAATGTTAATTTTAATTTAATATATTAACATTTAAAAATTCTTATCTGTTTAATAACTGTTAGAAATAAACATTTTCTAATTTCCCATTATGTTTTATCTAATAGGATACATTTGTGAATATTTAATAAAAGTTAATTCATTGATAACCGCAAATGAATGATACACACGGACAAAAAGTTTCTTATAAAAAGAAAAATGTTTTTTTTAGTATTTTTAAGACTTCGAGGGCCTCTTTTAATTACGGGGCCTGGGCTATTATAGCTATAGCCCCCTCCTTAATACGGATCTGTGCACGGAACATATTAGTGAATGAAAGCGATTAATAAACATAATTTAATATTGAATATAATCAAATAAGCTTTATTGAATCTTATTCAGTTATAAGTAACATTCAATTAACGATGTTGATATTGACCGTGAATTGTTACTAATTTCGTAATAAAATTTATTTTGGTTATTTAAACCATGTTTTTTTAATATTTTATTTCAAATACAATTCTCTACAATTTCTCTTTTATTTAAAACTTACCTTAATTCAGGTAATACATTTTGAGGTTTTAATTAAGGTATAATTATCACTATAATTAATTAATTATTGTGACTAGAGCGCTTTATTTGTCAATTTTTGACCAATCAAAAATAATTTTTGAAAATATTGGACTAGTACAAATTGCCGCGAAAATTATACTAGTACGAGGTGAATATTTTTTAATTTCGATGCATTTTGATTTGAATTTTCGGTGCAATAATATATACTCGTATATAATAATTGTCCTCCGAGTACCACTCGTATTCAAAAATATGTCGAATATTTTGAGGTGTGATATTGCGAATATTGTTTGTGGTTGCAAATAGTGCTGCGCACTTGTATTCTGACAAGCAAGCAATATTCGCTATTTCACCTCAAAATATTAATAATAATATTTTAATTAATAATAATATTTTAATTAACGATTTTCAAGATAAAATATTTTATTGCACTTTAGCAACAATTTATTATGGGTAAGTACACATAACAGAACTGTTATGAAGGTATAATTATAAAATCATTATCAAGGTTGTTGTTTATGGAAAATCTAATGTAAAATATCGGTTTTTATTGCTAATTATAAATATTAATAATTAGTTAAGCTTTAACGACAGATTATTATACATATTAAATAAAATAATATTAAAATATATGTAAGTATAAATAATAATAAAAATGCTTTATTGCGTGAAACAAACATTTATTTACACAAAAGGCAGCGTTCGTAAGGACTTTCGTCCACACCACCTGTACTAAGAAATTAATTAATTACCTAATTAATTTTATTCTTCGTATCACATATTAATCCTATAATTTCATACAACTTACTTAAGTTACACATATATTAATTTAAAATACAAAAACTTGTTATTAACTGGTGATAATATATTATCACCAGTTACCAACAAGTTTTTGTATTTTAAATTAAACATGTTTGGAGTTTTATATTATCGTTTTATATTATCACATATTATCACCAGTTAATACTTAACAATTTTTTGTACCTAAATTAAACGTTTTTGGATTTTTAAATATTATGTTAAATAATGTTTTATCGTTCAAAAGTACATAAACGAATCCTTAAATGTTGTGTCTTACGTCAAGATTGTGTATATTGGATCTTTGAATAAAGGTGTTGAATAGGTATTCAGGCAATTGTTTGGTATATACTTTCTGAACTAATTTTCCAAAATTATACATACTTGTAAAGATAAATTATTTTAAAATGCTTGTTTTTCAAATAGATTAAAGTAATGTGGTCAAATTTTCCGACTTAATATATAAATCTAATACAAGAGTTCTGCATTATTTGCAGTTTATTTTTAAATGTTTTACTAAGATATGAGTAGTAGACTGGCATGCAATAGTCTATAATAGGGTATATTAATATTGAGACAATTTTGTACTTGGTGTTAGAATTTAAAACATAGGTACTTAAACTTATATAATGATTTCAGCTTCATATATAAAACACAAACTAAGATGTCTTGTAACATGGCTTTTAAAGTTCAGGTTTGTATCAAAAATAACACCCAGATTTCTTGCTGAGGCAGTTCTATATTATTTATATGTATGGTATTAAAATTATATTGTTTTGATTTATTTATCATGTACTGTACTGTACCAAGCATTTACTTCTTTTAAGACATTATTTATTTCTTTAGTGGCTTTGTTCATTTCTGACGGATAAAATGATTTTATTAGCTAACATTCGTCGCCAAACAGTTTTTATTTTTGTTTGGAAGATCGGCTGTATAAATTGAGAATACGATGGGTCCCAGGATACTCCCTTGAGGCACTCCATATTTTCTTACTGCAACATTAGACCTATTTCCATCCAGATCAACCAGTCGATTTTTTAGGTAGTTAGCAAACCATGGTGCACAGACATGCTTTTGGACCAATTCCATAGAAGTGCAACTTGGCCAGTAACAAATCATGATCTATCAGGTCAAATGCCTTAGTATAGTCCAAAATAACCAAAAATTTTTGATTCATCAATAGCCAAGCAGAATTTGTAACCTTAGCCAAGGCAGTAGTAAATAATAGATATCTTTAATCGGTCTATAAATGAAACTTTATAATTATTATTATTATACACTAGACACTAAGGTGATTAATTATGAACTACCTAGGCATATTAATAGTATATTACACTACAAGGGCAGAAAGTGTGAGATTCCTGCACTGCGCACAATGATGCCCGAGGCGAAGCCGAGGGCATCATGGCGCGCAGTTCAGGGTTCTCACACTTTCTGCCTGTGTAGGGTATACTATTTTTCTTACTACCTCGGCCGAAAATACAACCCGGCCGAAAATACGGGAAAAAATAAAATGTGTATATAGAAACATATTGATGCCTGCCCAAATTTTGAGGTTATATAATGTCGTAATCAGAGTTGCATATGTTCAGCATACGACTAAAAAATTTTTACTCCCGCTATTATAGAGTGTGCGCGTATAGCTTGACCAATGCAAGAAACGTAAACTTTCTGCCGTGAAATCGGGGACGAAACAACGTATTTTCAGTCGAGGTAGTAAGAAAAATAATTTAGACTAATCGGGTTGCAAACTACTTGATGAGGCAGTAATTCATTATTTACCGCATTTGTACCAATCATAAAATTCGATATCTGTTAGATTTAACTAACCTCAATTTCTACTTTTAATATTTGTACGTTTCAATTACCGTTTAACAAATAAAATTGTGTCTTAATAAACCGCTTGAAGATAAATTGTTGTATGTCATTTGGCCAAAAAGGTCTTCTTTCTTCGCTCAATTGTAGGCTTCCAAATCACTTAGGTATGTTCTTTTTTTCTTGACTGACTTGCTTGTTCTGCCTGCTTTTTTCTCTTTCATTCTTTTTCCTTCACTTTCTCTTTCTTCTTTTCTGATATTTTTATTCATAAAGCACGTGCATGTTCGTGTATTCCATATAATTCTGGGGTTATTTCTACTATTTTATTCACTTCGCCGTTATACACATTCCTAATTGCATTAGACACAACAAAAATAGAGTCGTTTTTTTGTGCAAAGAATTTTTATCTTTGGTAAGAATTCTCATACTGCGGAAAGCCTCTTTCCACTTCAGCATTGCCGTGAGGAAGGCAAAGCAAAGGTTGGACTATATTTTTCAGTTTTAGCAAAATGAATAATTACTGTGTTATACGTTATCTGTTGTTAGGAAAATGTAAAATATGAATATTTTATAAACATTTTTATAATTTTTCGTAATTTACTCGTATAAACATTTTATGAACAATGGTCAAAATATAAAGGTTTGCATAAAATATGAAGCGAGTACGACCCCTGGGCCTATTCCTTACAAAATATTTAAAAATGCCCTATAGGGTGTCCCAGCTATAGCTAGCTGAGCGATAAAAATTGCTGGTGTGGTATTAAGTGGTTCCGAATACGAATTCGTTGTTACTTTTGCTCTGAAAAATCCCTGATAGTACGTTTTGAAATTTCGACCCACTTATTTGTGTAAAATTTGTCTCGAAAATTTAGAACAAATTTATGAATTTTGAAATAAGCAAATTATTTCAGAGAAAAAAAAAAGGTTGTGCCACAATGTATTAAGTTTATCTGAACATAAAAGAAAACATTTTTTTTAATGGAGTATTTTTGAGATACGGAATTTTTAATTTTTTTTAAGTCTCTGGTAACGGTAATCAAATCCTATAGTCTAGTGGGCGAGAACCAGGTATCTTAACCCCCACATATACAGGATAATATTACCTATACTCTTTTTTAAACAAAGCTTTGCTATTAAGTTTTTGTAAGTAGCTCAGGCGAGTATATTTTCGAATATTTAAATACAGGGTGTTTCATAATATATGCGCAGGACTTCAGGATGTGATAGCTCATCCAAAAAGATGAAAAAAGTCGCTATTAACTTACCCTCTAAAATGCACAATTTTCGAGATACAGGGTGTTGAAATTTTAGAAAAAAAATCGTTTTTTTAGATTATCTCTGGAACCGTTTATCGTACAAAAAACAGCTTTTGTAAGCATTTTCTACTCATAATAAGCTATGTTTCTACTCATAATATGCTATGTTTTGTGCCAGATTTTTTTTACTCATAATTGGTGGAGATTTTGAAGGGGTAGCGGGTTTTTCTCCTCAACTTTAACGCCCCTGAAAAAAGTACGGTTTTGAAAGGCCCATTCGAACCGCCAATGTTTTCTACAGAAAAAAGGTACTCTTGGTCATAAGCTCTAAAGTTGACCGTTTTCGAGAAAAATCAACTTTTATGTTTAAAAACATGGTCAATTTAAAAAAAATATTTTTTTTTACTAATTAAACAAAATTTATTTTAACGTTAGGACAAGTAACAAAACCAAACCATAATTGCAAAATAAAAAATAGGGGCGTAGAAGTTGAGGAGAAAAACACCCGCTACCCCTTCAAAATCTCCACCAATTATGAGGAAAAAAAATTTTTTTCTAAAAAAAAAAATTGCTTATTATGAGTAGAAAATGCTTACAAAAGCTGTTTTTTGTACGATAAACGGTTCCAGAGATAATCTAAAAAAACGTTTTTTTTTTCTAAAATTTCAACACCCTGTATCTCGAAAATTGTGCATTTTAGAGGGTAAATTAATAGCGAATTTTTTTATCTTTTTGGATGAGCTATCACATCCTGAAGTCCTGCGCATATATTATGAAACACCCTGTATAAAACTCGAGGGGTTATTCACTAGAGAAAAAATGTGACAAGATTTCGGATTTCGAGCGATTTTAAGCGATTTCGAGTGATTTCTGAGGATTTCGAATGATTTCGGAGGATTTCGAATGATTTCGGAGGATTTCGAGAGATTTCGAGAGCTTTCGGAAGATTTCAAAGGATTTCGGGAGATTTCGGCGATTTCGACACAGTGAGTGGGGATTTCGACCAACAAAATTATTATCAAGTCTAAAAATACCTCGAAACCATTCGTAAGTTGTTTTAAATGTGTACACGTATAGGCATAACCTAGGTAGGTTATAACCTATAACTTATAGATAATGTTTGGTGGTGTAGAAAAATAATTTAAATTATTACAAAATACTAATTCAGTTAATAAATATTTTAAATACTTTTTAGCAGTATAAGAATTGGTCTAAAACCAGTACCGTGCCGTAAAGAGGGCGCAGGGGGCGAAAGATATCTGAGTCTGCGGAAGGATTTCGGGTGGATTTCGTGGATTTTAAAGCGATTTCGGAGATTTCGGCGGGATTTCGGTGATTTTGGAAAGATTTCGGGGATTTCGGAAGGATTTCGGGGATTTCGGAAGGATTTTGGGGATTTCGGACGAATTTGTGACACGATTTCGGGGAGTGGTTAACCCCTCGATAAAACTATAGTTATTTTATAAATTTTTTAATATTACTTCAAATAAATACAAAAACTCCCTGTACAATAAATTAAGTAAAATAATGAATTTAAAGGTTTATAAGGTATATTTCTTGTGATAATATGGAAATAATAAAAAAAACATTTCCATATATTTTGTGTAGATATGTTGGCAGAGTTTGCATACAAATTGTGCAAATTTTCAATGCAAACTTTGTGCCTAAATTCGGACACCGTCTTAAACAAACTCTGTGCAACTGGGTGCATTCCAAAGCCGGTCATACGTACAGGGTGATCCCCTATAATGTCGCCCCCCTTTAACTTTTTTATTTTAAATGTACCAAAAAAATTAAAAGTGTGGTTATGTAGGTACTACAAAATACTTTTTTTCTAGGTATAAAAAAATGGAAAATTGATCAATATACAGGGAAAAACAAAAAGTTTATTTTTTTTCAATGGATCACCTATTGATGAATTTATTTTTCGATTCCTTCACTGAGAAAAAATGGGACAAATAAACTGTGTAGCTAATACTTTTTATTAATAGTGAATTTATTGTTTATTACCTCTAAATCATCGTTTCTTAACCTCGGGTCGCGACCCAAATTTGGGTCGCGGGCCATATCGAGATGGGTCGCGGGACTTATCACTGCATCCTTAATTTAAATTAAGAAAATGTAGAAAATTGATGATTTTATTTTTTATCGGGTCGCGAGCTTCTAATATTTTTGAATTGTGGATCGCCAGCCAAAAAGGTTAAGAACCGCTGCTCTAAATAGTCGAAATAATAACGGTAAATTTACTTTAGTAAAACTTTATGTATCAGCAATAAAAATATATTTAGGATAAATAAAAAATGCTTCTGTGCCATATTTAATTATTCTTTTTATTTGGGAACCATAAACTTTTTTCTCAGTGTTGTAAAATTCTGAGCATAATTCATATAACAAACCATGGTTTGTTATATGAATTATGCTCAGAATTTTACAAGGAATCGAAAAATAAATTCATATATAGGGTGATCCATTGAAAAAAAATAAACTTTTTTTAGTACCTACATAACCACATTTTTAAATTTTTTGGAACACTTAAAATAAAAAAGTTAAAGGGGGGCGACATTATAGGGGATCACCCTGTACATCTGACAAAAGTTTGCATTCGTTCGCGTTGCCGACGAATTTTTGTCAGAATTCGGGGCGAGCGGAGGCGAAGAAAATGGGTAGCAATGCGAACGAAAGCGCTTCATTTAAAAATATCAACATTTTTACCGAGAAATGAAAACGAAGAAAACATAGTTAGGGAGATTTTTTATTCTTATAACTATTACTATAGTTAGATCATAAATAAAATAGCACAAAAAAAAGTTACACCGAAAGTCAGAAAAGTACTTCTTAGCACAGTGTATAATATACACTGTATATATACACTATAGTGAATATAAAAATTAATAATTTAGTATAATTAATATATATAATTATATAATTAATATAATTTAGTATACAGATAAGGCACGGCGTTATTTTTGGGGGATTTTTTTACTGTCGAAAACTTTCTTTGGTGGAAATTTTACTAGCAAGATTCGTAAAAAATTAGTGGCCAAAGTCGCATATTTACTCGCTAATCTTTGCATTTTGATAAAAAAATAAGGAAAACATTTTTTATAAACGTGGCTGTGTTTTTTTTTAATTACCTACCTACTATTTTAGTCTGCTTGCCCTCTATAAAAAAAACTGAACTGCAACAGGTAGACGTGTTTTCAAAAATAACATTTTTGATACTTTAAACGCCAGGAAAAACAATCAACAAAATTGTTATTATCTAACACTATTTTGATTGTATGAAATTAGGTGGGTGTCTGAATAGCCTAACAACTTAGTTAACAACTTTAGTTATATAAATCTAGTGAGTTCAGTGGCGGACTAAACCCGTCGAAGGCCCGGCGGTAAAATGGTGCCCCTATAGACTATAGTCTGCTTATGAAATGATGTAGGTAATTATTTTGTAAATATTAATGTTTTGTTATTTTAAATTGTTTAGTAGATCCTCCCAGCAAGTACTTTGCAACACTCTTAATGTAATCAGGTTTATGAAAATTGATTGCAAGCTTTTTCCAGCAAACTTATAAGTATAGGTACTTATATTTGAACCTGTTAATATTTTAAATTTTTAAATAAAGGGGCCCACTCATGGTAGTCTAAGATTAACCATTATTTAATGTAAACTTTTTTCCTGATGGATTGCAGCTGTAAGGGCTCACAATACCAAAATATAAAAAAAAATTCTGTTTTTTTTTATCAGTTTATATTTTATGGTAAAGCTGGGTCCTGATATATTTATATCTATACATACATCAAATTTTAGCTATTTTTATTGGACTAAGAAAGACTAGATTTGGGGGCCCTTCTGGACCGGGGGCCTGGGGCGGGCCGCCCCCCCTTAGTCCGCCACTGAGTGGGTTCAAAGTCCGCAATCCAAAGGTTAATACCTACATGAAAGAAAAAACTAAATTTTCAGGAGACCTGTCTAAAGCAATAAATGCGCAATTTGTTTGGATCTCTAATTAGCCGCTTATAAACACACTACTTGAAAGTATGTGGGTATAAACTAAGTACATAGGTAGTTTAATTTAAAGAACTTATTATTATTATTTATTATTTTTGTTTGTTCCTTTCAAATTTAACCCTATACCTAGGTAGGTTCCCCCGGTTGATTTTTGATAAGAAATTGTTACTTAAGTCATACAAAGGTATTTTTGACTACCTAAATATTTTCAAAACAACATATTTTATTATTATATAGATACCTACTAATCCCAGAACAAATGCAATCTTCTAAACAATCGCAGGTTAAAACAAAAATGTGCTTATTGTTTACACGCGAAAAACTTAAGCTAACTTTTACAAATCACAATAATACTCATTAGAGAACATTACAAGAAAAACCCATTGGCTAAAAACTCACCAAAAATCCTATAAAATCTCCAATTAGCTGATTAAAGCAATAAAATAACAACCGTTAAAAAAAAGTAAACCGGCACTGAACCTACAGCGCAATCACTCGTCAAGAATTTCAGGCAGGCCAACTCATACCTATGTTCTGTGCATATAACAAACTCGAACTGAATATTTTTTTGGAAAAATAAACACAGCGTGAAGTTGCGCGCACATGTTTAAGCAATGCAGTGACGTAGAACACAATAGGGGCATTAGAAATGGTACAACTACTATTATTTCGGTGAGTGAAGAATTCTTGAATCAATGATTAGGTATACCGTTGATCAACGACATATAACAAATATTCATACATATATTTGAGTTATGTTGCTTACGATACTTTGGCAGAAAGTCATCGATATATCGATGACTTTCTGCCAAAGTATCGTAAGCAACATAACTCAAATTTCGGGATTCGAAAACATTTTTTGTCTTAAAGTCTGTTTTAAATTAAATATACCTAGCCTAAAGGTTTTATAACAAGTAAATAGCTTATAATTATAGCTATTACTTGTTATAAAACCTATAGGTTATATATGGTTTAAAACAGATTTTAAAATAAAAAATGTTTTTAATTCCCTAAATTTGAGTTATGTTGCTTGCGATACTTTGGCAAAAAGTCATCGATATATGATAAACGATTAATAGGTAGGTCGGTAGGGTATACAAATTAGAGATGAATCATCTCAGATGATACAAAATACTAGGTAGGAACAGGTATTTTGAAGCAGATAGGGTTAGTTAACCAGTAATTGACCAGTGAAGGAAATTTTCGTGAATAAATTATTATATTTTCCTCTATTTTTAGTTTAAAATAAAATAAAAAATATCATTGAGTTTAATTTTGTTTTAAGATTTGATAACAGCTGAAGCCTGGTTCTAACAGAATAGTAATTTAATTTAAGATGTAATTTAATTTAACTTAAAAGTTAAAAACCCAACAATCCTTTGTAACGTTCATACAGTAATGTAATTTAAAACTTAATTTAATAGTTGGCCAACTTTTACCTTTTAAATTAAATTACGTTATTTCAAGGTTATTTCGTATTATCTAACCTATTTTGGGAGAATCTAACCTATTTTGTGTAAACGGTTTTAATAATAAGACAAATATTTCGATTGTAATTACCAAAGTAAGCCATATATATCTAAAACTTTAAGTTTTAGATACATTAAGCAAGCACTCCCTTTAAAATATTGTTTTTAATTTCAACACTATTAAATTACGTTACTTTTTGTATGAACGCAAGTAAATTAAATTTAATTACTTTTAAAGTTAAATTAAATTATATTACGTTATTTCTCTGTTAGAACCCAGCTTGACTAAAAAAGAAAAAGAGTTTCTATGCCGACGAAAAAAAATTTAATGCACGAAAATTCATGATTTTCCAGTGGTTGACCAATGCCTTGTAAGCAGATATCATTAATAAAACTGTGCCATCTAGAAGTTAAGGGGTAAAACACTATGCAAATAATATTAGTTTTTAATTAGGTAATACCTACAGGGACCTTGCTTTTATCATTTAATCGGTAAATTGGTCAATAACTGGTTGATGGTCAATTACTGGTTAACTGACCCTATAACCCAAACAGCATCCAATTCAGAAAGATTTATGTACGAAGTTTGTTGAAAAACATCCTATAAGTAGAGTCGTTTTTTCGGGCAAATAGGTACCATGAAATACTATGGTTATTAAACTAGTTAAGCTTAACTTTGGTTAATAGTTAAGGCATTTTTGCGTTTAGAGTGCGTTCAAAAATCCTATAGGATTTTTGAACGCATAGTTATAACTATGACGTCACAAATACCAGACCATAAAACTATATCGCTGAGCTAGTTATTCAACGTAGTTAATAGTCTTTCTCTTTTTAATATATATTTTTCTGTTTTGATCTGTCAAAAAGTTGTTTACATTTGAAATTTAAAATATTTTAAGTAGGTACAATTGCTCTTAAACCGAATTTAAACTTTGTATTTAAATGATAAACGGGGTGCTGTCAGTGAAAATAAATGATAGGGTGCTCCATATTGTGGAATCTCCACAAGAAGTGGAGGAATTATATGCAGGTTTGTTTTATATTCTTCCTTATTTGTATTAAACGTGTATTGAAAAAACTAGTAGGGGAGAGTGGGGAGGGTCTGGACACTGGGAGACAATGGACGAATTTCGCGGTTCCAGTAAAAATTTCAGGTTGGTTCTACTATTACAGATCGTCAAGTTGGTAAGGTATCAAATAGAGGTAGTGAAATAAGTTTGAGTTTAGCTGTAGAAGAGGTAAGTGGAAAAGTTTATTTTCGAGTTTTTTCATGTAATATTTTACTTTCCCCTTGTAAGCTTTTCTGCCCAGACCGTTGTAGATAAATAATTTAAAGTTACTACATATTAAAGCATGTGGGTCAGAATTTCTCAAACGGGCCACCTGAATTAGGTCAAAATTAGTTTTTGATTGTAGATACATTTTTTCGATAGTATTTTACATCATTAACACAAATCCTAAAGGATTTTGTAAAAAAAAAATTTTCAATTGACATATTCATGATATTAAAAGTAAAAGTTTTTAGTAATTAAAAAATAAAAAAAAATCATTATGGCTAAACTAATTATCCGATTCCAACGATTTAACTAGCGTTGGAATCTTGTTTTGACATAGATTCTTTGTTATTTTTTTCAATTGTACAATTTTCATTTAGGTCGATTTTTTTTTGTTTTTTTTATAACAAATTCGGAAATAATTGCCTTCTGCGCCAGCTATCGACTCGAGAAAAAAAACACATATACTCCAATCATTTCTCGAAATTATGCTGCTGAGAAAAAAAATGGCCCGCAGGTTGACAAAAAGTTATTCGTCCTTTTGTGGCCGCGCGCGGTGTCAGCTCACGCTCCGAACCGTGTACGCTGTACGCGCTTGTGACGCGACGTCTTACGGTGGTCTGGAACCTGCGGGCCATTTTTTTTCTCAGCAGCATAATTTCGAAAAATGATTGGAGTATATGTGTTTTTTTTTTCGAGTCGATAGCTGGCGCAGAAGCCAATTATTTCCGAATTTGTTATAAAAAAAACAAAAAAAAATCGACCTAAATGAAAATTTTACAATTGAAAAAAATAACAAAGAATCTATGTCAAAACAAGATTCCAACGCTAGTTAAATCGTTGGAATCGGATAATTAGTTTAGCCATAATGATTTTTTTTTATTTTTTAATTACTAAAAACTTTTACTTTTAATATCATGAATATGTCAATTGAAAATTTTTTTTTTTACAAAATCCTTTAGGATTTGTGTTAATGATGTAAAATACTATCGAAAAAATGTATCTACAATCAAAAACTAATTTTGACCTAATTCAGGTGGCCCGTTTAAGAAATTCTGACCCATGTATAAAGCATGGAACTTTTGTTTATATCCTTACTTTATTCCGTTGCTATATTTTGAAATTATGAACATTTTTTTTGTTTCACATCATGTAGGGAGAGTTTGGACACACTGTCTAGAGCAGCGTTTCTTAACCTCGGGTCGCGACCCAAATTTGGATCGCGGGCCATATCGAGATGGGTCGCGGGACTTGCGGGATTTGTGTTAGTTGATTAAGTACTAAAAAAAATTTTAAATTACTTACTTACTAAAAAAAATTTTAAATTACTTTAAATAAAGAAAATGTAGAAAATTGATGATTTTATTTTTTATCGGGTCGCGAGCTTCTAATATTTTTGAATTGTGGGTCGCCAGCCAAAAAGGTTAAGAACCGCTGGTCTAGAGTCTTCCTCTATTGTCCAAACATAGTCCCGGCACTTCGTTAGCAGAATATTGAAAAAATTAAACCAAGGATATACAGTCAAATTCCTTAAAAGGCAGTTTCTATCATACAGATTTAAAGAAACAGATGAAGATGGAGCCTTGGTGGATTTTAAGAACGTGGTATTGGTTCTTCCCCCCACTGACGGAGTTCGATTCCATAACATGATTTACTTTAATTTTAACTTGTCGCAATTTAGTATTGAATAAGTTTGGCTCTGATTTTTTCAATAAAATTCCTAAATTTATAATATTTTTATAGTGTCCAAATGCACCCCGTACGTTGTCCAGAATCTCCCCGTATGTGGGGTGACTTTGGACAGATGACCGAAAATTTTCAAAAATTCGTAGCAAACCCATCTTACGGTTTAAAGTGCACATATTTATCTCTTTGCGTTTTCAAAAGTCAACACTATTACCTGAAACTTTGAAATTAGAAATAATTACATTTCTAAGAGACCCAGGCATCTAAAAATTGTCCAATGTCTACCCACTCTCCCCTATAGAAAAAGAATATAGGTACTAGGTATAAGAAGAGGCAAAGAAATTTATTTACACCGGTAAAAACATAGAAATTAAATATAAATAGGTAAAGTGGAGGAATTATATGCAGGTTTGTTTTATATTCTTCCTTATTTGTATTAAACGTGTATTGAAAAAACTAGTATAGAAAAAGAATATACTAGGTATAAGAAGAGGCAAAGAAATTTATTTACACCGGTAAAAACATAGAAATTAAATATATATTAAAAAATTATACCCTGTTAAAAATCACCCATAGAGACCAATAGAAACCAATAAAAAATCAGAATGAAATGAATTGGTCTCTATTGGGCCTATTGGTTTCTCAACAGAATGAGCATTGGTTTCTATTGGTAATTTCCGTACTGGAAAATGCCAATAGATTACCTAATGGTCTGTATTGTGGTATTTACCAATTGAAATTCAATTGGTAAATACCACTTAAATGTTCAGCGCCTGCGCAATTTAATACAAATGACCACTTGTTTCTATTGGCAATTTTCTTACTGGAAAATACCAATAGATAAACTAATGGTCTGAATTGGTATTTTATCGGTGTGTAGGTACAAGGAACCCTATTGGTATATACCACTTTAATAATTATTTTTAAAATTCGCCAATAGGTAGGCATGCAACCCATGCATACCTCTCGCCTCTGTAGCACAATACATAGGCCTATAAAGGTGGAATGCCTTGAGCTGCTAAGTAAGGATTCCTTACTAAGGCAATATTACTGGCCATGGAAACGCCTGGCGTTTTGGAATTTTTAAAGGGGCAGAGGTCGTCCTGTGGCCCACTCTGCGAAAAGTAAGCAGTGGGCCCCACTACTTACTTTTAGCAGAAGCTATTTATAAAATTTAAATTAAATGTTAAACAGCACTATTTTTGAGAAATTATTTAACCATCAAAACACGTAATTTTTTACCTTAAAGACGTCTAAAATGGATAGTGGGGACCAATTCAAACCAATAGCGGTACCTCTGGAAAATCCAAATAGCTCTATTGGGAATTACCAATAAAATATATCTATAATATATCTATTGGGAATTACCAATAAAATACGATTAGTCTCTATCGGTCTGTATTGGGATTTTCCAGCGGTGTCGCTATTGGTTTGAATTGGTAATTCATGGTACAGATACCACTATTGAGACCAATTCAAACCAATAGAGCTGCCGCTGGAAAATCCCAATAGCTTTTCTATTGGTCTTTATGGGTGATTTTTAACAGGGTATACCTATAGGTTATGAACAAGTAAACAAATGTCAAATGTTAGAAACCTAACCATGGTTATATGAATTAACTGTGACGTCATGACTTATTTAACCGTAGTATTACATAGTATTTACGCGAAAAAACGACTTAAGCTTAATTTTCATGTATCCGTTTGTCCGTCAGTCCGTTCATCCGGGAGCGCTCTTATTGGTCCAATTATAATTCGAAAATTATGACATTTTATCGGTCCGTCAAGTTTCAACTTCGTACGTCTGACAGAGAAAGGTTAAATAATTTTAACTCATCCGTCACTACACATCTGTTTTTGACGCCTAACGTTATTTTAAGATAATTTATTTTCAAATATTTTTATATTTTTTCAATAAGATTGTAAAACGGAAATATTACGTTCGTTATGTGAATAATGTTTTACTGTTAAGTTTTTATTTAATAAGAATAACGGGAAAAAAGAAAGGACAAACAAAAAAAAATTAAAACTAGAACTAAAAGGACCTGCTTTTTAAAAACTGTACATTTTAATGTATATTAGGCCTAGTATATTCTTTTTATAAGGTATATTTACCTACCTTTAAATTTATTAGACAGCTAACTGTTAAAGTTACAATTGTTGACATAATTGTAACTATGACAATTAAGCATTAGATAAATTTAGTAAGTGAATATACTGACACTTAATTTTTATTTGTCGCAAAATCAATCCGTTAAACGTCATTAAAAAACGTATGCATGAAAATTAGAACATTTCTTATCGGACGATTTTATTGAAAAACTGACATACGGATGACGGACAAACGGATACATGAAAATTAAGCTTTAGGTATCGGTATATATACCGATCGGCCGATGTCGCAATATGACATCTTAAGCCGGGTCTACAATTGTCGCAGGTCGCAGATCGCAGAACATAAGCTTGCGCAAAGCACCCATCTGACAAAAGAATCTTGATCCATCGCCTTGTCGCGGGGTGCTTTGCGCAAGCTTATGTTCTGCGATCGGACCCCTGCGACAATTGTAGACCCGGCTTTAGAGAAATCATTTTTAGAAGCTTATATATAAAGGTTATATATTAACCTTAAAATTGACATTCGACAGTTTGATGCAGCCCTGATAGAGGTTTATTTTTTACAATAGAGGAATAAAATTTTATGGTTGTTCTTAACACTTTAAGGCGGCTTTTAAGGCTTATTAGTGCCTTTGTAAGAACCACAACGTTTAAAACGATTATTAATCTGTATACACAAATTAACCTTCAAAGTGACATTTGACAGCCCTGATAGAATAAGGTATATTTTTTATAAAAGAGGAGTAAAATGGTTGTCCTTGGCACTTAAATGCCTTATTTCAGGCTTACAAGTGCCTCTGTAAAAAACACAACGTTTAAAACAATTATTAAACAGCACAAACCCAAAGCACAAGAATTGTAAACAACAAAAATGGCCGCCGTTAAACTCTGTGCAGTGTTGCAGTGATTTTTAGTACAAGATAGACCTTGTGTGGATTGTGACTGAATTCATATTATTAACTCTTTAAGACGTCAAAATGGAGACGTCACATTTATGACATTTTAATGCGATTACTTTCCTTTTACCGCTGTAACTGCTTGTGTTTGATTTAAGAAGCGGCGAAGTAGAATTAAGAGCGTGCAGCCCGCTGCGTGCTCCATACCAAACGGACCTAGGTAAACGGTACCCGATACGGAAGAGCTCCAAAAGAGCGAAACAGAACGTCCATCAGTGCCGGTAAAGAGCACGATTGAATTTAAACAATAGTGAGACGAAGTAATCGCAATTCCAAAAATAAGCGAATACGAGCAAATTATTAAAATGATTTTAATAAAATCAATTTAACAAATTCGTTTTGTCAAAGAAAGGGTTCCTCAAGAGTTCTTTTTTGAGTCTTGATTATAATATATAACTATAGTTCGATAGGTGGCGCATTCGAAGTCATAAGAACTTCTTGAAAACTTCTTTCTGATGTTTTATCTGACGTCCAAATCATAAAATAGAGCTTATTACTTACTTAATTAAGACGTCATATTGCTGCCTGGGAAGCGAATAAAAAGTATCGATTTCAGAAAATGGTCCACCTAGTATTTTAGAAAATATAGCATAATAGCGGGCCCGACAGTACTATCGATACCCGGGAAGAGAGTGGATGTGTAGTTCGAGCGCTCTTAGTGCCGATCCACAATAAAATTCTTAAAGAAACATAACTATTATATACAGTGTAGTCGAGTAAAGTACGGTGCGAAACAGTGCTACTATTTTGGGTTACTATAGTAACATACCTGTACAGGTGAAATCAGGGTACCTGTTCTCCAAAGGGTTAATAGAAACATTAAATAATTCCTCAAAAGGCAATCTCTCAACGGTGAACATAGGGGTGAGGTTCGTGCGGACACGAAGTAATAAAGTGACAGGGGACAGGTCAAGGAATCACCTATTTAAAGAAAAAAACAAATCTAACAAATAGCGAAAGGGATCATCACCAGCAGATTCTGATAAGTATTTCTATGAGTATTATAATAATATATAATAATACTATTATTGCATGACCTAATACGCAAATCTGTAATAAAAACCGGGCAACAATTAATCATTACCGAAAACAGCCTACGTGTGTAAAAAAAAATCAAGTAAGAACGTCACAAAATTATATTATTGTATTATATATATTATATAATATACGCATAAACTTACAGCCCAGCCACAAAGCAAAGCTTAAGAGATAACGAAAGTAAATAAACAAAACGCCCACGTAAAAATAACGTAAATAAACCATCTATTAAAGCATACGTTACACGCCTGACCATAGAAAAAGGATTAAGGCCGTATTTAAAATTTTAATACGACACACCACAGGGCCGGCTTTATCTATTTTGTATATTAATTTATTTTTAAATTAAATTTGGAAAAAAAGTAAGAATGCAAAGAAATTAAATGGTAAACGGTATAATACACTAATTTAGCAATAAAATAAATAAAGAATATACAAGGTTGGTAGCCGAAGTAAGCAAAGAACTAACATACCCACCCCCATTCACGAATACCAATTGAATGGGGTTACTACTAAGGCCTAGGTTGAGGAGGATTCCGGATTGTAGTTGGTTTTGGGTCAGTTCAATGTCCTCCTAAAACCCTTCCTAAACTGGACCCTAGGGTGGAACTACCAGCCGGCGTAAATACTTCGGATCCAACAAACACAGGTAATGCTGTGATTTGGCGGGATACGCAGGAGAACGGAAAGGGGGTAAAATAACCCCGGGAGATTAGTGGATGACAATATATCTGGGGCCTGCCATACGTTCCCGTACTCATACTCATATATGAGTATGCTATAGCATAATAGCGGGCCCGACCATGGAGCCTACACAAGGAGCCCGAACTTCATGTAAACAAGAATCTTTCTAAGATAAGAGGGCGCTGGTGTACTACCGTACCAAAACAGTAGAGGGGTATAACCAGAGATGGCGCCACTACCTACCACTTAATAATTATTATTGTGCAAATAATTGAGGTTATGCAACAGTCAGTTTATCGCTTTCCTAAAACAATGTACCCATGTACCTCGTTTTGTGTATAAATAAATGTATATCAAATTTAACATTGGAATTCATGCTGGACTTTCTGAGCATAGTACAGTTTTTTATAAATACGTTTTTTTTTCTATAAAAGAATGTCGTGTGGTGTTAAAGGTAAAGCTCACGGAAAGAATTGGTGCCGAACTTGTTGTCAAGTTTAGACTGTTGCCACAATATATTGTGTCGTTTATAAACGAGATCTCGAATTGACAAAAAGGGGTACAAAAAAAGTAAAATATAGAATGTATATTATCATACGCTGTGTCTATTCTCACGCTAACGTGAACACAATTTAATTTTTATTCTCACGCTAACGTCAAAATTTTAAGATTTTATGTTACGATAAAACTAAAACCAACCAACCCAACCCAACACTTTTTAACAAAGGAACAAGAAATTTATAAAATAAAAAAAGTTCGACAACTTCTGAGTATCGAACCCGGTACCTCTCGCATGCGTTTAGGAGGAGTTCAATTATCAATCCACACAATAATAAAACAATAATTATAATTCATTAATTCTATAGAATATTGTGTGATTTATTCTATAGGACATTTTTTCAAAACCCTGTATCTCTAAAACAATAAAAAATCGGATAGGTAACAATTGTTAAATGTTAACATTTAATTTTTTTTCATTGTTTTTAAGGAAGAGATTTTAAATAATACGGAATGCATTGTTACAATAATTACAGTAATTAATGCAAATCTTGTACCTACTTATCAATAAGTAGGTACGCAAATAAGTGTATACATTCTAAAAATAATCTATATAGTGGGAATTTTAAAAATAAAGAGCTCCGCCACTGCGTATGCGTGTACGTGGGGAAATTTAACGGCTGGCAGTTGGCAATGGTACTTGCACAGAACGTGAAAGTGCATCAAACTTCACAGTATTCGTTTCAGGGTTTCGGAAAAAAACCTGTTGGGATCATATATGAAATCCCATGTCATTCATTTTAACTTATGTGTTGGTTCCCATCCGGGACTTATTACATTTGTGGCTACTTCAGCGTGTTTGTGAAGTGCCTGCTTCCTCGTATTGAAATGGCAGGCACCAGTGATCGACATCAATATCCGAATAACGATACCAGCAGCGATACCGAGGACTACACAGACGATCGTAGGAGAAGAGTTTTCAAAAATCGTTTGAGGTACTATTTTAGATTTTGTATTAATAGGACGACCTTTTAGTTTTATTTTAGAAACACGACTATCTGCATTTTCAATACATAAATAATTGCATCATTGAAAATCACCGTTTTTATCTCATAATGATCACTTGAATGACTTTATTGTTCTAAAAAAGGTAATTATTATTTTCTTTGTGTGAACTTGACATGATTTGTTTCAATAGTGTACAAGTTTTATTTTTAAAGACAATGAGACACATCTTTATTGATTATTCAGTTGAGTAACAAAGAGAGCTTGCTGTATGGTTGGTGTTCTATGTTGTTACTAACTATTTGTTTAATAATACCTTTTTTAGTATTTAAAATACATATGATTTCAAGTGATTTTTAATTTGTATGTGTTTTGTTAATTTTTGCTTGTTTTGTAACAAAGGAATTATTTTAGTTATACATCGTAGACCATTATTTCATTTAACATGTTTCAGAGATATACAAAAGGAATATGAATCAAAGGTTTTATGACAATTGTACCAAAAAATAAAATGGTTCCTTAGCTATAAAACCTATTTATGCCAATTTCAAGGGAGGACACGAATGTTTCATGACATGTTTCACTAACAATTTTCTTTTTTATAAATGTATTGTTTTTATTAACACAGGTCTACATCCAAATCAATGTTTTAAAATTAAAAGTGGACTTTTGACCCATTAAACTAAAATGCTCCATCACAATCTTAGGGTATCATTATTTTTCACAATCAATCATATTCTTGAATTATGATTCATGATCATAACTTTTGTTATAAATCTTAACAGATTTAAGGTTAATGAATGGGGGAAAATACCTTCTAAATGATTCATCTGAAATTTTAATTTTCAACACAATAGAAGTACCTACATAATCTCTTTAATAATTTTATCATCGAACCTCTTTAAAAGGAATAGACCAAACTTATTTATTGAAAAATACTACTTTTTTAATTTTGTAATTACAATTATTTGATGCTTATTTTAAAGTAACCAAGTGCCAACAAATATTTCTATAATTACTTATTTATAATATGTATTATGTACAGTTTTTACTCGGTTTTTACTTTTAAATATTGTTTTAAATATATTTTTTAAATGGATATATAAAATAAGTATCAAAATATAATACTCAGTTTATACCTTGTCTTGCTGTGGGGGGCTTATTTTAAGTAAAATGTTCAAATAGGAGACATTTGAGCTGTTAAAAAATAGTAGTGGTAAGTATCCACTTACATATTTCAAAGGTTGGCATTTTGTAGACCTGTACTTGTACATAGTGTCTCATGATAGACTAATCAGTCTAAAGTTATTATTTAATCTATATTCTATACTCTTAAAAATATTTTTAAACTAGAACTTTATACATTATTTTAACAATACGGAAAACAATGTGTAATGTATCATGTGATGTAATATGTCCACTATATATTTTTTTTCAATTAATAAAGATATTTTTACCTGTTTCAAATCAAAATTAAATAGAACTACTAAAAATGTCATACCTACATACTATAAGGATACAAGTTTTGATAAATCTACAGAAAAAATTAAAATAAATAAATATGTTTAAAAATCAAAAGGAAAAGAATAATAAATGGAATGAAAAAAATCAAGTCAATTGTTTAAATAATAGCTTGTATTATGTGAAACATTAAGTATGGATTAGATCTGGAGTGTGCAAATCCCCTTGAAATTGTCAATAATAACTAGTGCATTTTTCACAATGTCATTCATGAATAATTAACAGTATTGCTTTGCGTAGTTATGGAACATGCTCGAAGCCGAAATCGTGCCTTGTCCAACGTTCCACGTCCCTAACAGACCCTCGATGCCACTCTGTAGCTACGCCTAAGCAATGTCACAATTTTCCTCGCAATAGGCAAGGGCTCTCATCTTACACCACAAAGAATCGCATTGTTTAATCGTGGTTATTTGCAGATCGCGCACCGTTCTGCAGCAAGTGGTCGCGAACAAGAACCAACAGAGCCAGACGACCAGCACCGCAAACCAGATGGTGCAGAGCGACGACCGCGTCACCCTCGTGGTGGACAACACGCGGTTCGTCATCGACCCGGCCATATTCGTGGCCCACCCGAATACGATGCTCGGCCGCATGTTCAGCTCGTCCCTCGAGTTTACGCACCCGAACGACCGGGGCGAGTACGAGGTGGCCGAGGGCATACCAGCCTCCGTTTTCAGAGCGATCTTGGAGTATTACAAGGGCGGCGTGATCAAGTGCCCCCCCTCTGTTTCCGTGCAGGAGCTCCGAGAAGCCTGCGACTATCTATTGGTGCCTTTTGATGCTCAGACCGTACGCTGCCAAAATTTAAGTAAGAACGATAAATTATTCATTAGCTTCGTTTATGAATCTCTTTAACAGTACTCTGTATTATTTGTTTTAATCAGAGCTGGCCAAGTACTCGAGTACTTTTACTCGTATTTCAATTACAAGTAAAAAAGTACGAGTACTTTTTTATACATAAGTATTTTTCATTTTAAATACTTGTTACTCGTACTTACAAACCAAATTCAATGTACGCCCAAAAAATACTCGTGGAATTCACGAGTAATAATATATAAGAGTATTTCCGTTTATTATATCGATAAAATAGAAGGCACCCCGAGAAAAAGAAAATTTCCAGTGAAACCCCTGTGGAAAGTTATTTTAGAGACTTTAGATTAACATTAATAATTCTGTTTTTTTTGTTTTTTTAATATATTTAAGCTTATACAGTTCATAATTTATATAAAAATATCTGTAAAATTTTTATTGTATTTAGATAGGCAGAAAGACCTTGGTCAGTAGCCTTTTGGTTTCCCAATAAATTTAAGTTATTAAATATATATATACAGGGTGTTTCATACCAGGAGGCGAAAAATGAAATTCTATATTCAAAACGTCATTCTAAATAAAAATCTTTAATACTTTTTTGTTCTATCATTTTTCGTTTTCGAGTTATTCAAGTTCAAAGTTTTCAATTCAAACAATGAAAGGATAACAATATGCAATAATAGGATTCATAATTCTAGCAACCAAAATATACATCCATGGATGTATATTTTGGTTGCTAGTTGCATGGAAACGTATAAGTATTTAACTTTATAATACAGTTTATTTTTTTTTATCTGGACTGCGGCAACGTTGCAAACTTAGGGGTTTAGTTGGCAAATATTTCTATTATATTGGCAGCTATAAAACTAAATTAATATTTGTGGTTAAGAAATCAAAAAATATTTACCTTTTAATAGGTTTTTGACCAAAATAGTATTTCGTTATTGTCCTGTAGGATAATTATTTGTACAGAGACGTTTTTTAAATCACATAAATACATTGGAGTTTGATATTCCTCTGTTTAAATTTAATGGTTTGACAAAAACTGTCAAATTATGTAAAACAGAGATACCAATCCTAAAAATACTAATCAAACTGACATAAACAACCAACTTAATAAAAAAACACTAGATAAAAAGAAAATAACCTTATGTGGTCTTCTGCCTTATTTAAGTAATACAACCTGTCAGTTTATTGCTAATATGTCAGCAAGAATTATTGATTGACAATTGACCAATTCAAAACTTTGAACTCGAATAACTCGAAAACGAAAAATGATAGAACAAAAAAGTATTAAATATTTTTATTTAGAATGACGCTTTGAATATAGAATTTCATTTTTCGCCTCCTGGTATGAAACACCCTGTATATATATATATACTATGTATACATAGTATTGTATGTATACATAGTATTTTATAATAGTTTATAGGTTTTATAACAAGTAAATAGCTAAAATTATAAACTAGGTATTTACTTGTTACGAAACAAGAAATGTTTTCAATTCTCGAAACTTGAGTTATGGTTTTTGCGATACTTTGGCAGAAATTCATGTAATGTATCGTCCAAATTTCTTAGAGTCAAATTAACAAACCACCAAGTTTGAGTTAAAAGTCCAAAAAATTTCCTACTAATTCAAACACTGAGTGATATTTGTTGAAAAAATTCCACAAGTAAACAAATTAAGTAATTTTCTTGTCACTTTGGCATTTCTCTATATACATCTGTTACTATGGAGAAGGCAAATAGAAAAATATTCGCCAATTATGGTCACTGTCAATTCTGTTCCTTCCTTTTATCTGTCAGCAAACCGTATTTTTGACACTTTTTAATAGGTTTAAATTGACAGGAGTGGAATTGTCTATTGGTACTCCTACTCTTTACTCGTGTTTTCCTGATTACTACTTGTAACTGTAACCTCTCTTTACAAATGTAAATATTTGAAGTATTCATACTCACCGCCCTCGGTGGTGTAGTAGTTAGCACTGCGGACTACAAGCCGAGAGGTCGTGGGTTCGAATCCCACCAGGGGTATGGTTGTTTATTTGTGTTTGTCATTGTGTACTTCTGTAATTGGGCCTGGTGCCTGTTGAAAGCACATTAAAAATAAATAAAATAAAATAAAAATAAAAAATTTTACGAATACTCTTTTTAGTACTTGTGCCCAGCTCTGGTTTTAATACCTATGATTGATTGGAAAGCCTTCTTTAAAACCCATAAATGGATTTTTTTTAGTTTTTACGGTTTTTTACGGCCCTCAGGAAAGGGGAATAAAAAAATGTTTTTTTTCAAGAATACTTTTCTAAAGGGTTGAACTTTAATAAATTAATTTTGACATGCTAAATCTAGATCTAAAATCAAAACTGGCCAAATTAGTAGCAACACATATTAAATGTTTCTTAAAATCCTGAGTACGTTTTTAATTAAAATGTTTTAAATTTTCATAATTTAAGAAAAAAATTATAAATATTAACCCAGAAAGGGGGCATTCCACGTTACTCGGTAATTTTTGTCCCGCCCGTCACAATTAAAAATTGTGAGTAAAAACCACAAGTTATAAAATTAATATTTTATAATATTATTTTTATTGTGCTTATAACTTATTAAAAGCATAATAAAACAATATTTTTAAATAAATTTTATAACGCGTAGTTTTTACTCACAATTTTTAATTGTGACGGGCGGGACAAAAATCCCCGAGTAACGTGGAATGACCCAAAGGATTTTCAAAAAAGTTCAATAAGCTTTGAAAATATTTACTGATTTTTAAAAATCTACATACAGGGTGTTTCAGAAGTCGCGCACCACCTTGAAAAACTTTAAAATTCAATTTCTTAAAAACCCAACCACAAACTGTAAACGCAGTTTTTCATTTTGTTTAATCCTCTTTCATTCCCTATATGATATTTCTTTTCGCAAAAAAATATTTTTTGTTAGTTTTATAACTTACAACTTACCATTACAGTTTTGGTGACACGGATACAATAGTAGATACAACAATAATTATTATTAATAAAGTGAAATGTTATTCTTAACGAGATAACAACACAAGAAGAGTACAATGCACATGTAACATGTAAGACCACATCTTTGCCTCTACTTATAGTTTATACAGGTTCATATAGTTTATAGTACAAACATACCGTATTTTCCTTTATAATTCCCAATGCAGGACATTTTGAAGGACAATCTTCTATAACACACGGCAAGTTTAAAAAACGGACGGTCCGTCACAATGACGGACGAATGGCCACTGTAACGTTTTTACTGTTCGTAGTGTGAATTAAAACACGCACTGGTTTATTAATGAACTAAACTATTTATTTTATAATTTAATTACACTTAAAACACTAAGAAACTATAAAACTAACTAAACACTTAACTACCAATTATTTATATATCACTACTGTTCAAAAGTCTATTTATTTGCACGTATATTTATTTATTTCGTCGCGAGTACCAAAACTTGACTGACTGCTCCATGCTGCACTGTTTCTTATATATTCAGTGCCTACGTGCATTCCCGAATATTCCAGCGAGCTCCGGACCGCTCTCGATCACTCGAGCGCTGACTCACCGGCGATGACTCATCCGAGATCCAGAGCGGTACTCGCTACAGCCCCTTTACACTAGGGGCTATATCTTGAGAATATGGAATTAGAGAGCAATTTAGATTGCGGTTGAACAACGCCAAATACTTGTTTGAAATAGTGACACGATCGCGTTTTTGGCATAGTGTGAGAAACAACTTTTCACGAAACTCCTGGTATTAAAAATAAGATAGAAGTAAGTATCAAAATAAAAGTAACGAAACAGTATCAAAACTAAATCATAAAAACGAAATTAGAAACGAAACCTACATAAGAAGCGTTAACGAAACGAAATTAGAAATAAAACTTTGATGTATGGAATGGTAACGAAAATTTAAGATTAAGAACGAAAACCTTTAAATCATAATTTTGATTTTTTTTTACACTAGTATAGACGATTTAAAAAAAACTCTGCTAAAGTTTTTTTTGGGCAATCTTTAATTATTTATAATGATTAATTATCTGTTATATTGTTTTAATTTTAATGTGCAGTTTTTAATTACTCGATTTTAAATAAATTAAATGTAAGGTCAGTTTTTAATTATCCAATTTTATTCGAATTTAGGCAGTTTTCGATCATTTTTGACATCTGTTTTTTTGGACATGTCATTTTTAACATTAATATTTTTTCACATTTTTTTTTGGCAGGTGTCGAAAATGACAGTCAAAAGATGTTAAATAATAAAAAATAATAAATTAATATTCTCATGAATTGCTCAAGCGGCGTATCTATCTTCTCTCTCCCTTATTTATGCACAGCCACTCATTTCTTACGCCACGAAAACATAAACGAATATGATTTTACATTGGCTCTCCCTAATATCGATTTTCTAAAGTCACTTATTATGTGATCAAGTGTCACTGACCGTTCGCCTCAGAGGGTTTCATGTTCTTTGGTTTAAACTTCTGTAACGCCAAGTTTTGGTTTACCCCGTCTGCAAAGAAGTTTTACTATAAAAATTTGTTTTTGATTTTTCTACATAAACTCCAGAAGTCTGTTCTCAGTTTCGTTTCGTGACCCACGTATCGTTATTAGGCTCATTTGATACTTTTCGTTTCCATCCATATAGCGTTTCGGTATCATTACATTACTCGCAACGATACTGAATTTCGTTTCCATACCAACAGTTTTTTGGTACTGGTTAGAAACGTTTCCCAGACTTTTGTTACCGTAAATACGGGTGACTTTGCACCCCGCGGGTGACTTTAACCCATTTATGAAAAATCTTTTCGCGCTCGATAAAATTAACATTTATAATTTGTTGGTCTAAACCTGTCAATTGAGCGATTCTATTGAGTTTATATTACAGGAAAATCAGTGTTTTAAAGAAAGAAATGGGATTTATTACACTTTAAAATTGTACATATCGCATCAGTGCAAAACTCATAGAAATACACGCGTTACAATTTCTATATTATGCGCAATCCATTGGAATGATGATCCTTGGTTAACTACAGGTCGATTTTTTATTTTTTTTATTGGTAATCCCTTGCAATAGATATATGTCGCTGCTAACACGTGTCTAATAAAAATAAAATATAATATTACATTCATTTTATACTGAAAAAACACTGTAAGACAAAGTAACCCGCAACCAGGGGGTAACTTTGCACACCCAGTTTTTAATGTTTATTTTTGAAACTCGGCCCTATGTAATATTATAACATAGTTATTATGAAAGAGCAACTCAAGACTCAAATTTTGGTATACAAAATTTAATGTTTATGATTGTTAAAACCACAAAAATTTTAAGCTGAAGTTTGAAAGTGAGCCAAAGCCACCCGTGTTTACGGTACCGCTTTTTTTAAGTTAGTGATAACGATACGTTTTGTTTCTAAGCTTTGTTTTGGTAGCAAACCCTGGTGAAAATCATATTTATTTATTTACTACTAATAATAATAATAAAGAAACTTTATTGCAAAAAAAAGTTAATACAATTTCTTACAAATGGCCATTGACCGAGGTCCTTCAGCCAGAAACTGAAATTAATTAATTAGTATGTTATCTCGTATTTGTTGGATTTATTTACTATTTATATTAAATATTGTATTTATTAACTTTTATATATTTAATGTTATCCGAAATTAATAATAATAATAATTATTGGAAAATCCAAATGGCCAACGACTTACGTCTTCCTGCCCATCCGATATTATTGTAATACTTGGGACTTTTTTCAATAAAAACAAAATCTACAATCTGCCAACACCATATGGTATTTTTTTCAACTGTTTTAGGAGTCCAAAACGTTTGAGGTCACTCGTATTTGTGAGACCACAACAAAATACAGTAAACCACTTATTATAGTCCCCAACAATAATACCTATTCCTAAATAAAATATTTTAAAACTTTAATACTATCCAAAATTTACTAGGATCATTCTAGAATCAATTTTAAGTATATTTAAATTTAGAAATATTTCCACTGCAGCATGCTGCAAACTGCTGCAGCAGTTTGGTCAATACCGCCGACTAGCCAGGTATTTAAAATCTAATAATCAAGGAATAAAAAAATTACTGCGAAACTTTATAATCTGTGGAAACTTTAGACTGAAAATTGTCATTGTCAACCCATAGGTTAGGTCGTCAATAACATAAACAATCTAGAGATTTCGTGCATGATTTCAAACAAAATCGTCTTTTTAGGAGGTCTTTTGCACGAACTGTCGAACGAGGGCGCCCGATGTCAATTCGAGGTGTTCCTTGAGCAACTGATACTGCCACTAATGGTAAATTCTGCGCAACGAGGCGACCGCGAGTGTCACATTGTCGTGTTGCTCGATGACGACACCGTCGACTGGGACGAGGAGTACCCGCCCCAGATGGGCGACGAGTACAGCCAAACTGTCAACAGCACCGCGATGTATCGGTTCTTTAAGTACATAGAGAATCGCGACGTTGCCAAGCAGGTGCTCAAAGATAGAGGGCTGAAAAAGATAAGGCTAGGAATAGAAGGTAAGATATTTCTTATTAAGATAGTACAGTAGTAAATGTGACTTTCAATGATATAATATTATATTTTTTTCAAATTTGATTGACGCTTTATCAGTATATATGAATGTTCACTCTATTTTGGTTTTAGGGTACCCTACTTATAAGGAGAAAGTTAAGAAACGTCCTGGAGGGCGTTCTGAAGTAATTTATAACTACGTTCAGCGCCCTTTCATAAGGATGTCGTGGGAAAAAGAAGAAGCGAAGAGCCGTCACGTGGATTTCCAGTGCGTCAAGTCGAAAAGCGTCACAAATTTGGCCGAGGCAACTGCCGATCCAGCTTTGGAATTGGATGGTCGAGGTAATTATGAAAACATAACTTGTTTATACAGGGTGTTCTGGAAATGGCACACTGGCTACACAGTACACGATAAGGAAAGAATCTAAATATTAAATTAATTTAACTTAAATTATTATATCTATGAAACTAAATAAACATTGTCCAAAATTACTTTATAATTGTGGTGTGGAGCTAGTGGACTATTTTTGAAACAAGGTGTACATTCTTTAAAAATGGTATATTTTAATTATTTTCGCAGGAAAGTTTTAAAAAATAAATACAAAATTTATGACACTGTTCTGCAGCTTTACTTTGTGCTTTGGGATTTGCTAAATCAAAATGCTCCATTACTATCTCACAGGTGGCTAAAAAGAAAAAAAAAATTCCCACGATTCCAAAAAAAATCATTGGTACCTTGTGATCCCTTAGCATCCCCTGAGATAAGAAAATTTCTTCTCTAAATTGTAGTTGTTTATTTAGGGAAGAATCACCCCTTTTTGTGGGTTTCAGGGGGAACCAATTTTTTTTTGAATGATCAAAAAGGTTTTTAAAACAATTTTGACAATATCTATATAATTCTACCTTATATGTATTCTTATAGGGATTCTCTATTTAGATACAAGCTGTCAAAAACATATTCTCAATAAAAAAAACTCGAAATCGAAACATCACCTATTCGAAAGATTCACAATCCACATATCAAACTGCAAAAAGCGATACGGAGATTCTAGCTTTAAAAAGAGTGACAACCCAAAAAATAGATAATTTGTTTTCTTGAGAAGTGACTTATATAATTAGTATAAACTAGTAAACTGTTCCTTTTGTGAACTTTTCAAAATCAAAATGCCCCATCCTTGTGACCACTGTTTTGACCATGAAGAAAATAGAAGGAAGCTTTGTGCACCGTGCGGGAGAAAAATTAGTCTCGGAAATCTAAAAATGGAATATTTCCGTATTACAGAAAATGGTGAAAATCTTATACAGCAATTCATCAGTACCAATTTTTCTATCTCTAATCCTAAATATCCTCTAAGCATTTGTTGTAATTGTCGCAAGATACTTGCAGAACACTTTAAAAATATTTTTCAAAGGCCTTTTAAGACAATGCCGAATTATGAAGACATTTTTCTGCCGAAAAAAACAAGTGATAAAGATGCAATTTGCCAGTGTTATATTTGTTTAACAGGTCGGCACAAAGGTTCAGTCAATATAAAAAAAATAAAGTAGGTAACAGCCTGAATTTATCTCTTAAAATCTAGACTAAAACTGGACAGTTTGGATCGCGAAATTCATAAGTGACCAAGTTAGCACCTGTAACACCAAAAGAACAGATGGTGGCCAGGGATTTTTAAAAATGTGTATGACTATTTTGCCGGAATATTATGTCTGATCCAGATCTTGCTACAGTGTACATAAATTAATCATGCTGTGTATTGTGCCCACATCAAAGAAAAAACTGTTCGACCTAATAAATATCAATGATATTCCGTTTAAGTTCGTTGCGGATTTTAAATTGCTTCTGATCATTAATGGACAACAAACTGCCACCGCCACCTTCCCTTGTCCATATTGCTTTGTAACTTTACAAAAGTTAAAAACTCGGATCAAACTCGAGAATGATGAACAGGATCTTGTAGTAAAAATATATATCTTTTGGTGGCAATAAAAAATCGGCCAAATCAAGCCACAGCACCATCAACCCTCCGTTATTTTCGGAGCCCAATGACATGCCTGATATTGAAAATGCGTGATGCCGAAATTGCATTTATTGCAAGGTCTTGTTACCCACATTTTTTTTAAAGGCCCAGTGCCTATTTTGGGAAAAGAAAAAGCCCTAATCTGGCCGCAGCATCTAAAATTAATATCTGAAAACTACCACGGTGATTCTTTTGAAGGAAATGCGTCTAGAAAGATGTTGAAAGAACCTGCTTTTTTATTAAGTCATAAATTGTGTGATCATAATATTATTGGTGGTCCGCTAGCCCTAGTCCCGTATGAGTAAGCTTTTAAAGCACTCAATGAGTGATTGTTTTTCGAATATGAGGCTTGGTGGAAACTTGCATATGCACATAACCAAGTTAAAAAATCTCTTGCTGACACAAACGTAACTGAAACATTAAAGATTCACATATGCCTAAATCATCTTAAACAATCCCTAGAGTTTTTGGAGCGAGAGGAAGGATTTGGCATTTGGTCAGAGCAAGCAGGGGAATCAATCCATCGCGAATTTTTGAAGTTCTGGAACCGGCGAAAATTAAATAACCTCATGGACCAGAAATATGCTTTTTTTTCTTAAACATGTATTCTGCCAATTTAAAATCACTTTGGATCATTTAATTTTGTTTTTCTTTTAACCTTCTAATCATCACCCCTAAAATGGGATGGTTTTTCCTCAAATGAACATCTACGATTTAAGGATGAAGTTTTATAAACCTCAGTGGGAGCTAAGGAAACACCAGGTGCTAATGAGTTGTTTAGTCATCATGGGAAAACCTTTTTTTCTTTCCAGCCACCTGTGATCTCTTTACCTAGGGTTTTGAAATGTCGAAAAAAAACAGGACAAATTGGGAAAAAACTGTTTTTTTTTTTCGTTTTTTTCAAGGCCTTCGAAAAATTGGCTTTCTTTTTGGAAAATTACACATTTTAAAAAAAGTAACAAACCACATCTTAACATTATTTTAATTTAAAAAAATATCCTTTATTATAAAAAAACCTCAATTGAATTTAATTGAATTAATTTGATTTAGGATAATAAAATTAAACGTTAAATATACCCAACCGACGGTCTTTTTAGCAAAAAGAAGTGCATTGAAAATATCCAATTACAAAATAATAAATTAAATTATAACTTTGTGTGTCAAATAAAACTTACTGAATTAAAATAAAATGAATAAATATTATATTTATCGTAATATTAAATGCAATGTTTAAAGCTCGATTTCTATGAAACTCACAATATTGAGTATGGTTTAATAGAAATCAAGCTTTAAACAACAATGCAAAAAAGAAAATGCCGCGTCTCAAATCTCCTTTCAAAATCAGGTTTTCGGTTTAGATCTGTTTCTTAATCCATTTTAATTTTTTTAAATACTTTATCCACTACCTTTTTATTTTAATGCCCTTCAAAATTCCTTTTTTATTTTTAAGTCAATAAAATATTTGAAACCCTATTTTTATTTTATTTTGCTCAAACTGTGGGCCAAAAATACATCAAGTTATACAACATTGTTGAACTAGATTATAATAATTATAATATTTATTATTGGATTATGCATTATGAATACAAAGTTTGATACAAACACTATTATAACTAATAAAATCTATAAATTTATAGTAATGAAGCCAACAGGATAACAATTTATATTTTAGCGTATAATAAGTTTCATATTATAACACTAAGTCTATATAGCGAACACTGCTTGGCTATAATATAAGCGCTTCCTCCATTGTTAAATAATTTAATATTTCATGGTGGGGAGTAGTCGCTATTTATTTTTGACATTATTGGTGGTAGAAAGGAATATAATTGATGACATTAAATTATTGTCCTTAATTCTCTTTGTCAATTGAGGAGCATCCGTGCAAAACCGGCTATATCCACTTTAATAAAATGTTGGGAAAATGGCAAAAACTCTCGGTTTCCTGGCCTTTACAGATAAAAGAAAAAGCAAACTTGAGTTTTGTGGGCTTTGTAGTACTTGATTTATAAGACATACTTTCGTTTTCAAAAACTTTATATTAAGGGCAAAATTTCAAAAATGTTTTGGATATAGCCGGTTTTGCTCGAAAACCGAATAAAAAACGAATAAAATGTGGAAAAAAAAACCTTTATTATTCAAATTTTATTAGTATTATCGACATATCCAAGCCACATATTATTATTTATTGGATATAGCCGGGTTTGCTATAAAAACGTGGATTTGGCCGGTTTTGCTCCTAAAGCTACCTTTTAAATGTGATTTTAACATGGATATAGTCGGATTTAAACAGAATTATCTTGGTTGTCGATAGAAATGAACCCAAAGATGCGAAATCAAAAAAAAAAAAAAAAACTGAATAAAATGGATTTAGCCGGTTTTGCACGGATGCTCCTTAATTTTGCTTTAATTGACCCAATTTACATTTAATGCTTTAAGAATTATATGGATAACTCTCATCAAAAAGGAACCAAGCGCCAAAAACTTTTATTGGGCTTAGTAAAATTATTTGTAAAATAACTCATTTTTAATAATGCTTAAAGGGTTGATTATCATTTGGAACTTTTCTCAAACGGATTGAGAGGGTTCCCATATTATATTATATTATATTATATTATAATTATTATTTTTTTGAGCAGAATTAAAAATCAGTTATTTTGCAAACAATTTTGTTTTCATCAGAAGAAGTTTTTGGCGCTTGGTTCCTTTTCGATAAACGCTATCCATATTCAGGAGCTTCAACTCCATATAAATTCGAGGAGTGGGGGGTCAATAAGAATGTCGCCCGTGTACAATGACCGAGAACGCAAAATTGAGTTTTGCGCATCTCCCCTCCTATTCTTTGCAGAGATAAAGAAGATATCTTTTTAACCTCTAATATTTTATATTATAATAAAATCTTCTTAGTAGTAAACAGAACAGTTTGTTAAAACAGTGAGTAAATTTATAAACTAATCAGTATTACTTTCGTTGGAGCAGAAAACGTAAACTGTAATGAAGTTAATATAACGCATTTTTAAGTATAAAATTAATGAATTTTGCCCTTTAAAATCAATTGATTGCAAGTTTTTTGGTGTAATCATTATGCTGTAATTTTCGTTATAAACTTACTGATGGTATTTTAAATAACTGATGTGCAGGTTTTTTTATCCCTTAACAAATTTTGAACACAGCACAAACATCCCATACGCTAAAGAAGCATCGCTAGAAGCGCCGCCACTCGGCTGTTATCATCGTAACAAAAGTACAACTTTTGATAATCAGCTGTCAAACGCGTGGGTACAAACGAGTGTTTTTGAGAATAAAGCCGGAAAACGTTAAAAAATATCGAAAAAAAACCGTGGACGATTTGTTGTGTTGTTGGGAAATCCTGGGTTGAGTTTTCCAATAAACAGTGTTTATCCGAATGAAGAAAAAAATTTCATACAGTCCCTGTAAATATAAATTGTACCTATTATAATACAATTAGTAGAGGATCCCAAGTAAGGTCGACCTTCACCCATCTGCTTACCAGATGAAAATTATATTTTATCAAATAAAATATGTTTCTGAACATAAACCAATAGGGTTGCCATAAAAAATATGATCAAGGCTAGCTATAATAAATAAAAAATAAAAAAAAAATAATTAATTTTTTAAATTTCACCGACTTGCTTGCCAAATGAACGAAATTCCAATGGAAAGCATACAACATACAGAATATGTAACAGCTAGGTTGCCTACCTTTTTCTGGTCCCTATTACCTGGTTGCTTTGTACAGGGTGATCCCCTATAATGTCGCCCCCCTTTAACTTTTTTATTTTAAGTGTCCCAAAAAATTTAAAAGTGTGGTTATGTAGGTACTAAAAAATACTTTTTTTCTACGTATAAAGACAATTGGAAAATTGATCAGTATACAGGGAAAAACAAAAAGTTTATTTTTTTTCAATGGATCACCGTATATATGAATTTATTTTTCGATTCCTTGTAAAATTCTGAGCATAATTTATATAACAATTGTTATATATGGTTTAAACCATATACCTAAATTCAACCGTTTCTGAAATATTCGCATTCGAAATGTCATCATTAAATGTTTTTTTAAACTGTTAGAAATCAAGAAGCCTCAGTATACCAAAATTTTTATTGAAAATAAATTACTATAGTGACATTATGTCAATAAGTGTTGTTAAATAAGTAAAAATGGCGTACTCAGACAGAGAAAAACAAACTATTTCAACTTATTATCTTAAAAATAATTTAAATATTTCAGAAACGGTTGAATTTAGGTATATGGTATGATATATGAAATATGCTTAGAATTTTACAAGGAATCGAAAAATAAATTCATATATAGGGTGATCCATTGAAAAAAATAAACTTTTTGTTTTCCCTGTATACTGATCAATTTTCCAATTTTCTTTATACGTAGAAAAAAAGTATTTTTTAGTTCCTACATAACCACACTTTTAAATTTTTTGGGACACTTAAAATAAAAAAGTTAAAGGGGGGCGACATTATAGGGGATCACCCTGTACAAAGCAACCAGGTAATAGGGACCAGAAAAAGGTAGGCAACCTAGCTGTTACATATTCTGTATGTTGTATGCTTTCCATTGGAATTTCGTTCATTTGGCAAGCAAGTCGGTGAAATTTAAAAAAATAATTATTTTTTTTTAATTTTTTATTTATTATAGCTAGCCTTGATCATATTTTTTATGGCAACCCTATTGGTTTATGTTCAGAAACATATTTTATTTGATAAAATATAATTTTCATCTGGTAAGCAGATGGGTGAAGGTCGACCTTACTTGGGATCTTAGACTAAATAAATACACATTTTAGTAATGATTAACGTGAAAAGTGTAAACATTTCAATTCAGTAAAAATCGTCAAACAAATAAGTCGTCTAAATTTAAACAGCATATAGCATCATTAAAAGCGTTGATTAAGAAAGTCTTCACTCAACGGTAAAATACCATTATATTATGTTGTCATGAATTCGTATTCGGTATATTTTGTTGTTTAAAATTCAGTTGTCGGCGTTTTTTAGAAAACTCAAATATAAAAATGGTTGATTTTAAGGTTATGTTTGTGCAAAAATTATTTTTATGTAATTTCTTAAAAATGTCCAAACTTAAATATAAATTATATTAGGTAAAGTTATCATTAGTTAATTCTGCACCAACAAATGCAAAACAGGAAAATGCAACGATTTAGTTCTTGAATTTTATTTACAATTAAAAACATCATGATTCTTTAGATAAAATACACACACTAACGTAACTATACAGGGTGTTTCTTTTAACTTGAGACAGCTAAATATCTCGAGAAATACACATTTCCCGGAAAAATGTCTTAAATAAAAGGTTAATGTGACCAAAGGGGACATTATTTGGTGCTACCGCTAGCCACCCCCTACCCCTCCTTAAGGGTGAAACGGGGGTTAACTTTGGAAAATCAAACGGGATGACCCAATTTTTTTCACAGATTTTGGTAGTACATAAAAAAATGAATTACTTTTATTTGAAACTTTTTTCAATTTATCAACAGATGGCGCTGTAATTCAAAATTTAAGAAAAATGGGTTTCCTTGTAAAATGTATTATTTGAAACGTTTGAAAAACAAAAATTAACATTAAATCAACAATAGTCGGCTCTGAAAACAATTTATAACAAATGTTCTAAATGTCATGATGGTTGTCCTGCGCCTTATTCGGCAATTGCTCGAGAAGTTTTGGATCGGGAGACGTGGTTCAGTAAGTTGGCCTGCTCGATCACCTGATCTTACGCCACCAGACTTCTTCCTGTGGGTTTACTTGAAAGAAAAAGTTTACGCTGCAATTCCTACAAGTCGGGAGGACATGGTGGAACGGATCAGGAACGCCTGTGCGGCGATACCGACCGACATGTTGGCGCGTTGTGTGCCAGAATTCATTACCCGCGTTCAAAAATGTGTCGAATGGAAGGACGACATTTCGAACATTTGTTATAAATTGTTTTCAGAGCCGACTATTGTTGATTTAATGTTAAATTTTGTTTTTCAAACGTTTCAAATAATACATTTTACAAGGAAGCCCATTTTTCTTAAATGAATTACAGCGCCATCTGTTGATAATTGAAAAAAGTTTCAAATAAAAGTTATTCGTTTTTTTATGTACTACCAAAATCTGTGAAAAAAATCGGGTAATCCCATTTGACTTTCCAAAGTTACCCCCCGTTTCACCCTTAAGGAGGGGTAGGGGGTGGCTAGCAGTAGCACCAAATAGTGTCCCCTTTGGTTATTAACCTTTTATTTAAGACATTTTTCCGTGAAATGCGTATTTCTCGAGATATTGAGCTGTCTCAAGTTAAAAGAAACACCCTGTATAAGCATTTAAGCGTTGAGTTTCTTAATCAATGATATAAACAATAATCAATCGAAATCGAGTACTAAACCAGTTTTTTAGTTTTTTCCTTGCAACATAAAACACAAATAACGTGCGCGATTTAGCTGTGCAATTGAACAAAATTTTTCGAGGCAGACTTCTGCATTCCTCTCTTTTGTGAAAAAACTACCTATTTATTTAAAAATGATGTAGTTCGTACGCTTTAAATGTTTGGTTGACAATTCTTAAATTCACACAATGCTATCGAAATCCACCAGATGGCGCGCGTGTTGCGAAAACCCGATACTTCTTTAGCGTATAGTGATTTTATAAAATAATAATTTTGAAATTAAAATAAAGCCAAAAGTGCTTGTCAATCAACCTTCTTTTCCAACCAATGCGTGCACGTGCAGTCAGTTAATTTGTTCCTACCGGCTATTAAATGAGAGATTTTAGTATAATGAGCGATTTTAGTATACCGTTCTTGCCCAGTTTTTTAGACTCGCTTAAAATTTTTCTTCAATTTTGGGGATTTGTAAAATAGTTTATCTTTTTTAAAAAATGCATTTTTGAACTACAAAAAAGATTTTATGAATAGAATTGCGTTAAAATACTTTAGTTAGGGGTGTGAGAATAGTGTTAAAATCAAATTGAATAGTGATGTTTAATTCGAATTTTGAATATTCAAGAAAGTTGAATTATTTAAATAGTTTGAATATTAGAAAATTTAAATCTCTCAATAATACTAGTTCAAACTAATCAAATAAGTATACATAAACTATTCACATAATTAAAAATTTAACTATTTTACAAATTGACAAAATTAAAGAAAAATAGTTAGCGAGTCTAATAAATTGGCCAGGGAATGTATGTCTGTTAAACAGGTATTTTAAACGATTCCTAGTCTGTAACCTGATGTGATAGAGCAGTTTTGAATTTAGCTGATAATCCCGTAGGTAGATTTATTTTATTGTTTTTGCAGAACAGTGTAATTGGAATGTTTGAAAAGAATGCATTATTTTCTAACATTTTTCAAAATTGGCACATGACACCGCGTTTTTCACAACAGGAAATCCGATCCCGGTAATCGAGCAGCGAGAGCCGCTGATGCCGCCTGACCTGCCCGCCTCCCTGGCCGACCAGCTTCTGTTAGAGGGAGCGGCAGCGGGGGCGGGCGCCGGCGCGGACAACGAACAAGCCGCCAATCCGGACATCGACAACATCTAGCACGAAATCGACCGACTCATCTTCTGGAGGACGTTCGGGCATTGTCGGGGATGCGATCTATAGACGTTTGTTGCACTTCCAGTGATGTCATTTAATGATTTTCTATTTCTCGATGCAGTGTAACTAGTCCAGTAAAGTTAGTCCGATTTCTATGGGTATTATTGCAATTCATTAGGTAAGGACTTTTTTGCGTTCGTTAGGGTACCATATAGGAAGCTTAAATCCGAGTTTTTGAACATCAACCCCTTGTAGCTTTTCCACCTTCTTGGATTAAGGGATGAATTCGCAAATAACAGCCGTATTCTTAATTATATCGAAAAAACATTGATACCATTTTTGACAAGAAGAATGAGTTCTAAAAATTTGTATACCAACTTGATATTTTTAAATTATTTAACAATAACCGGTTATTTGAAAAAGGGGTCACTACAGTAAGTAAACAATAACATTTGTAGGTAATTGTGTGTTTAACAACTTTTGAATGACAATTTGTGCAATAGTGCTAATAAAAACAGATTTTAGACTAAAATAATCGGTTATTACTCGTTCAATAGGCAATAAATTCAAAAATATCAAATTTGTTGAACTTATTTTTCTTGACAAAAATGATATTGGCTATTTTTTTTATATTATCAAAAATACGGCTGTTATTCGCAAATTTAAGGTGCAAGGGGTTGATCGTTAAAAACTCGATTTAAACTTCCTATATCCTAACAATCTCAAAAATTTCCTACTAAATGAATTGCAATAATAAAACCTAAATATACTGAACTCAACCACCAATTTAAAAATAATGATATCATTAGATTGCCAATCTATATTAACTCATATATCTTCCCCTTATACTGTTTGTCTTATTTATTATTTATAGATGAATTTCATATGCATTTTATTTTAATAAACCTGTTATTGTAATTTATTTCTAATTGGTTGTTTTATAAATGCAAAAAAAGATTTCTCTAAGTGTGAAAATTTTAGACTGAACCTTCTTGACACATAATTTTTTATATCATGTTTAAGATAATGTCTGGTGAATCTAAATGGGCTAAAAATACCATCAAAACCATGCTACTAAAATTGCCTTTAATTATTATTTCCAAGTGTTAAAGACAGTTTGAATACATAACATCACAGGTTTGAATTACAATAATATATATCAAGTACAGTCCCTGGCCAATTTATTAGTAGTCACTTTTCTTTTATTTTGGAAATTTGTGAAATAGTCCATATGAGGCCCCTAGAAGCCAAGGAATACATCGACATTAAAAAAAAAGGAGTTAAGTACAGGAATATACAGTTGGTAGCCTTGTTTAGCTTAAAAAACACTCTAACTAAAATTAAGTTTAGTTACCTAAAATACTTAATACGACTTTTAGGGCTTTAAACTTGTTTTTGCAATAAAAATTTCATCACAACATGTTGATTTATGTTTTAATCAAAGTTTTATTGCAAAAATTACTTAAAGCTTAAAGAGTCCAATAAATTGGCCAGGAACTATAGATTTAAATGTAATTCAAGTTTGCGATTAATTTTTGTGTTTTCAAACATTTGTTTATTAATTAATTTTTATTTTACTTTAAGCACAATTAACATACCCACATTTCCTATGTTCCTAAACATCACATTTTTACATGTTTATTCTAGTTGTTAGGTAATGGAACTTATATGATATATATTTTTAAATACCAAATTTTACAACTAAGTATAAGATGCATTTTAAATAATATACTTTATGTATTTGTGCAATTTTTACCAATCTTATACAACTAAATGTGGGTACTACATTTTTGTATGTGTTTTAGATGTTCTTTTTGGATTTTCAACTGTTAACCATATTTTATAAATATTTAAAAAATATATAAATAAGTATAGGTTTTTTTTAAATTATCAAGATTTTTTTGAAGTCATGGTTTGAAAATTCACAAATATGAATAGTTCTGATTTATATGTTGTAATATTGTACATAATTTAAATAGGCTAAATGTGAAATTAATGTACTGGATGTAAGAAGTATTCTGCTGTGAACAAATTTGCCATCAAAGTCCAAGTTATTTAACATTCCCCTTGGTCTATAATGCCCAAAAAAATTATTGCAAACCCTTGAGACTGAAATTTTTTAACAAATCTGTTTTGCTCATTTACTTGTAATTTTATTTTACATAAGCCATTTTTGACTATGTTTAATAAATTTCGTTTTGATTTGCTTTTCATGTTATAATTGAAATAGATTTTAGGATTTTATAATGTTATTTTTATTGATTGCAATATATAAATGGATTTAAATGTCTATTGTATTTTATTCCTGGAGCCTAAAACAATCACTAACTATTTTCCATTTGTCACCTTGTGCTGTAATTATAAAATTTTGCTGGAAGTTTTTTGCACTATTTTGCTGATATTTTACAATTCCGCTAGCTTGAATCATAAATGTTAGTTGTCCATTTACCACATTATCTGCAACAAAAATAAAACATACACATAAAAAATCATTTAGTGTTAAAGCCTTAATTGCAATTAATTTCATGGAATCATATACACAGTGATTAATATATCTGATTTATTAGAGGTTTATAGAGAACAAAAACAGACATTAAATTTAAAATTTTGGTTGCAGCTATAGCGCGATGTGATCTATAAGTTTCGTAATAAAATAGTTTTAATGCGCTGTCACTTCCGGTTGAACCGGTGAGAGGTGGGAAACTTGTGCATAGTTTTACTTTTTTAGTAGAATAAAATATTTATGAATGATAAAGATATTTATATTAAATGTAATGCGATAACTGTTATTTTGTTATTAGTTTGAATAAACCTTAACAAAACAAACACTACGATACAAACGAAATAAACAGAAACGCATGCGCATCACGCTAAATTAGTGCGATTTCCGCAAAATATTGGATCAATCTTAAGATTCCCGCCCCCTAGATTTCAAATCTTGCAAATTCGCAGGATCTGTCAAACGTCGAAACGCTTTTCCCGCCAAATCAAATGGGCCAATGAAAACATTTTTCTCATTTCGCAACTGTATGAAACCGACTATAAAATGAAATTAATTACAATTATTATCTTAAATTAAAATTAAATAATTAAAAATTTGTGTGAAATTTTAAAAATTTAACAAAAACATATGTCATTATACAAGGTGTCCATAAACTTAGTGGCATAAATTTAGGAGGAGATTAAGAAAGTCAAAATAAGACGAAAATCTAAATAAATATTTTTCCTAATTACGTATGTTTCCAAGATACAGGGTGATAAAGTGTGACTTATTTCAGTTTTTAACTTCTACTATGGTAGACTTGGAAAGGTGATATTTTGCGAACAGTCACTTACTACCAAAACACATGTATTCACACATAATTGGACGGCTTTCTGCAGAATGGGACCAACCCACACCATGATGAAACTGAGAAAAAAGCTATCGAAGATTTTAATAATTTTAAAATTACCTGTTAATTTTATGCCGATTTTGGACTTACGGAGGTTTAAGGGATTTAATTTAATAATTTCATCAGGTGGATTTTGTGATGTTATGTGTAAGGGTGACGAAAAAAATGGGCTTTTGTTGGTTGGTTCCTTTCTGCAATTTATGAAAACTACTATCTGATGTATGTAAGTATGTATTTAAAGAAAAGCGACAATTATTTATTTCCAAACAAAATACAACTGGTATTACTATTATAATGGTAATATGAATTAATTTTGATTCTATTTGAAATTCGTCCACATCATCTTCCAACCCCACCTCATCTTGTAAGCTACCAAAAAAATTCATCAAGACTTTATATTTTGCAGAAGCAGGAAATCTTTGAAGACTTTGGTAGTGGGTCTACCAGCAGGCTAGCCTGCTTTTTTACAAAATAGATCCAACCCACTTGCAGATATTCTACAGATTCTAATTCTGGATTAGTAATCCACACTATTATTGAATGTTGGTTGGTTCAATGATTAATAGATTTCACTACACTTGCATCTTGGCTATGACCTATTTTGCAGATAAATTATACATACTTAATTAGTTCATAGGCTAAATATCTCAATTTTTTTGGTTTTGTGGGTTGGTTCCTTTCTGCAGAAAGGCGTCCAATTACAATTGTTTGAGTGAACAAAGTGTAGTAGAAACAGGGGTTGCTTAAGCTTATTGTCCCATACAAACTTTGAGGTTAGGATTTTATACCATTTGATGCAATTTTTCAATTACTCAGTTCGGCTACTATTAAAAGGGTGTCCTTCTCAAACTTCGATAAAATAAACCGTTTCCGATATTTTCGAGATTACAATAATTGTTATATCGCGTTAAAGGACTAAAAGGTATATGATAACCAATTTTTAAAACTACATTTTTTTTTAATGTGACGGTCAGGGCAAAGAGTCCCGAGGCTCTTAGAATGACTTTTTTAGTTTTTTTTCATTTAAAAAATAAAATTTGTTGTCATATACCTTTTAATCCTTTTAAATAATGCGATATAACAACTATTGTAATCTCGGAAACGGTTTATTTTATCGAAGTTTGAGAGGTACACCTTTTTAATGGTAGCCGAACTGTGTTATCGAAAAATTGCATCAAATGCTATAAAAACCTAACCTCAAAGTTTGTATGGGACAATAAGCTTAAAGCAACCCCCGTTTCTACGACACTGTGTTAACTCAAACAATTATAATTATGTGTGAACATGTGTTTTGGTAGTAAGTGACTGTTCGCAAAATATCACCTTTGCAAGACTTCCATAGTAGAAGTTATATTAAAAAAACTGATATAAGTAACACTTTATCACCCTGTATCTTGAAAACATAAGTAATTAGGAAAAATATTTATTTAGGTTTTCGTCTTATTATTACTTGCTCAATCTTTTCCTAAATTTATGCCAATAAGTTTAAGGACACCTTGTATAATGAATTAGTAAATTATAGACCAGGCGGAGAAAGCACATATTATCGCCGAGCATACATTTCACTGCCGAGGCAGTATGTGTGCGAGGCAATTAATAAGCTTTCGCCGTAGAGTTTTATAAAGGTACTATTTTTTTAAGCATTTAATTAAAGAATTTCTTAAGATGGTGTCACATCATTTGTAGGTTAGATTAAAAAAAACTATTTTTTTTCAAGCGTACAATAATTTTCATATTTAATATGAAAAATAATATTATAAGTCTAGCTACAAGTTCAAAATTCAATATATTATTAAACTCCTACAGAAACTAACCTAAAATGATGACAGAACCTTGAAAAATCCTTTAATTAAATTAAATTAAAAAATAGTATACAGGGAATCCCAAAAAATATTGTGCAATAATCTACAAGCGGTTTTTATGGCCAAAAATAGGAAGAAAACTTTGATAAACATAGGTCAGCAAATGGCCCCTAAGGGGCCTACAGCCCTTTAAAGGGGCGCCCCTGAAGATTGTTTTTTATTATTTCCCACACGCTTTGAGATAAAACAACGTATTTTTAATTAATATTTTTGGTAAAATATATTGAATTGAAAAAGAAAAACATATAATATTTTTTATTTTGTTATTGTACTTTTATTCAAAAATAGTGAACTATTACGTAAAAAACTATTTATATTCTGCGGCCAACTTTTATAAAACGTTGCACACAAAAAAGTTGGGGCTAAAAATACCCTTGTTTTAGTTTTTAAATTCAGCATAAAAATAGTCAAATTTTCCTTTCTCTTTGTGATACATGGTTTTGAAGATTTTTTTTGCAATAATAGAAAAGTTTATCTCTGCAGTGTCGTTCTTCCTCTTGAGGAGAGTGGTTGGGCTACGGTCGAGCGCTCCTAAGCGTGTAAGCGATACAAACGCAAGTCCTAATAACGAATCTGAGAATCCGGCAATTTATCGGATGCAAGTGAATCAAAATCAGTAGAACGGATAACAAAAAATAAAAATTTAATAAACAAGAAAAAATAAATAATAATAGGATCGGTGGCCCCCGGTTTAAGTCACAAAGTGCTATTTATAACGTCGTAAAAGTTTGTGAGAGAGTGATTAAGGTTAGGTCACACCGATAAGCTACCTGGCTACCTGACTACCTGGACAGAAGCGAGTGGTCGAGGCCAAGGAACACGGACTGTCCGCTAGGGACAGGGTAACATAATTTCAAGTCTAATTAGTCCAGCTAAGTAATTTTCCTAAATGCATGACCTAATAACAATACCAATTCGATTCTAATCTAAAACCTAATCGTTAAAAACTTATATACGCAAACTTCGCAATGTGATTACCAAGAATCCCATCTGGCTTTAAAAAACAAACAGGTCCCTAGTCAAAATAAAAAAAGGGCATACATAAAACAGCGTAAGAGTAAATAAACCAAATCAAGCAGTAACGTCACAAAATATAGAATTGTATAAATAAGTGTTGTGTGTGTGTAATAGGTGTATATACATATATATTGTATGTATATGCATTTAAATATAAGCATTAACTAAGAGATCAGCCCCATAAATGAAAACTTAAAATAAACAGAAGTCTAAAAAGTAAACGAGCACGTAAATAACATAACATTACAGAAGATAAGAAAAGCGACCCTCTATAGCTATTAAACAGCCAATGCCTGCCAATAGGGCCGTATTACAAAGTATTAGGTACACTACAGGGCCGGCTTTATCTATTTTGTAAATTAATATTTAATAAATATTATTTACAATTAATTTTTAAATTAAATTTGATAAAAAATTAAGAATGCAAAAATATAAATTAAATGGTAAACGGTATAATACACTAATTTAGCAATAAAATAAATAAAGAATATACAAAGTCGGTAGTCGGCCCTCGGCCAAGGCCTGCCAATAGGGACGTATTCAAAATTATTACATACACTTCAGGTCCGGCTTTATCTATTTTGTATATTAATAATTATAATAGTATTTTTAAACTAAAAAAAAGTAAGAATGCAAAGGTATAAATTAAATGGTAAATGGTATAATACACTAACTTAACAATAAAATAAATAAAGAATATACAAGGTCGATGGTCGGTACTCGGAATGAGGGGTTTAATATCCACGAAGGCACAGGGCACTTACGGCGGGTCGTGGCCGTCAACACTTCAGTACTAAAGACAAGATTCAGTTCCCCACAGGGGAGAAAACAATTTTAAAGAGGTCACCAGGAACCGGAAACCGTCTCGGACAGAGACGTTCAGAAGTACAGCAACAAGGACAGGTTTTAGCAGCATACTAACACTTCTACCCCCATTCAAGAGTCCCAATTGAATGGGGTTATTACTAAAGCCCCGGATGTACTTAGTTTTGGGTCAGTTCAATGTCCTCCGAAAAACCAACATTTACCCTAGCCTAAACTGGGCGTATGGCCCGACCCGGCGAAAAAAATCCGGGAGTGGCCTTAACCATCGACATTGTCATCCACGACCATACCAGCCGGCGTAAAAACTTCGAATCCAACAAACACAGGTAATGCTGTGCAGTTGCGGGATACGTAGGAGAACGGAAAGGGGGTAAAATAACCCTGGGAGATTAGTGTAAGGTGATGTCGATGGGGCCTGCCATACGTCCCATACTCATAATAGAAAAGTTTATCTCTACTTAAATTTAGACTTTATTAAGTTAATATTTAAAGCAATTGATTAATTGATTATTTTAAGTAAAATACGCAGTTTTTATCAATTTATACCAAGATACATAACAAAAACTATTAAATTTATTTTTGAATTGAACCTGGGGGTTTAAAATTTAACTTTTTATACAAAGTAATAGACCAATCAGAGCACAGCATTCTCCATTTCACCTAGTGTGATGTGCCCTGGGGGTTTTCTGTTCTTTAAAAACTGCTGTGCTCTGATTGGTTCAAAAATATCATATTTATATAAATAGCCGATATAAATATCCAATATAAATTGAGTGATATATATTTGCAAACCCTAAGGTTCGCAAATATCATGATATACATCTGCGAACCCTGATTTATTGTTTTCTTGCAAACCCTAAGGTTCGCAAATATCATGATATTTATATAAATATCCGATATACAGGGTGTTTCTTTTAACTTGAGACAGCTCAATATCTCGAGAAATACGCATTTCACGAAAAAATTTCTTAAATAAAAGGTTAATGTGACTAAAGGGGACATTATTTGGTGCTACCGCTAGCCACCCAACCCAACCCTCCTTAAGGGTGAAGCGGGGGGTAACTTTGGAAAGTCAAATGGAATGACCCGATTTTTTTCACAGAGTTTGGTAGTACATAAAAAAATAAATAACTTTTATTTAAAACTTTTTTCAATTTATCAACAGATGGCGCTGTAATTCAAAATTTAAGAAAAATGAGTTTCCTTGTAAAATGTATTATTTGAAACGTTTGAAAAACAAAAATTAACATTAACAACAATAGTCGGCTATGAAAACAATTTATAAAAAATGTTCGAAATGTCGTCATTCCATTTCAACACATTTTTGAATGCGGGTAATGAATTCTGGCACACAACGCGCCAACATATCGGGCGGTATCGCCGCACAGGCGTTCCTGATCTGCTCCACCATGTCCTCCCAAGTTGTAGGAATTGCAGCGTAAACTTTTTCTTTCAAGTAACCCCACTGGAAGAAGTCTGGTGGCGTAAGATCAGGTGATCGAGCAGGCCAAATTACTGGACCACGTCTACCGATCCACCGCGGTGCACCGGCCATTGAACTCCCGATCCAACACCTCTCGAGAAATTGTCGAATAATGTGCAGGACAACCATCTTGCTGGTACCACATGTTTTGGAGCCGTGCTAGTGGTACATCCTCCAAAAGGTCCGTCAGATCGTTTTCTAGAAAATTCCGGTACTTTTCGCCATTTAATGCACCGTCAATAAAGAAGGGTTCGATTAATCGTTCGCTTAAGGTACCGCACCAAACGTTTACCGACCAGGGACGCTGGTGCTCCACTTGGTGTCGAAATGGAAGGACGACATTTCGAACATTTGTTATAAATTGTTTTCAGAGCCGACTATTGTTGATTTAATGTTAATTTTTGTTTTTCAAACGTTTCAAATAATACATTTTACAAGGAAACCCCTTTTTCTTAAATTTTGAATTACAGCGCCATCTGTTGATAAATTGAAAAAAACTTTTAAATAAAAGATATTCATTTTTGTATGTACTACCAAACTCTGTGAAAAAATCGGGTCATTCCATTTGACTTTCCAAAGTTACCCCCCGTTTCACCCTTAAGGAGGGGTAGGGGGTGGCTAGCGGTAGCACCAAATAATGTCCCCTTTGGTCACATTAACCTTTTATTAAAGACATTTTTCCGTGAAATACGTATTTCTCGAGATATTGAGCTGTCTCAAGTTAAAAGAAACACCCTGTATATCAATAATTTATATCCGATATACCGGGTCTATCTGAGAATAGGCGCACCCCTGTAACTTTTTAATTTATAAAGATAGACACATGAAATTTAGCCTGGTTAATTAGGATATAAAATGCCACTTATAAGAGTACAAAATGAATTTTTTGAACTTTCGGTTTCGCCGGAAATGATATCAACTTTCGATTTTTAAATGGAACGCCCTATATATTTTTACATATTTAGAATCCTGAGAAAATTCTGAGTCGGACAGCATCCTCAAATTGACCTTTCGACGTTTTGTCATCAGAAAATGCATCATCATAAAGATAAATCTAGAGTGCTTTGAACTAAGGTAAGTATTTGAGAAAAACGAATTTTGACAAGTTTAGACTGCTGGGAATAACTGAATAACAACTTTCTAAGGCAAGTTTCATTTTTTAGGCATTTTGTGAATCCATTAGAAGAAAATAAGATAGTTCAAAGCACTCTAGATTAATCTTTATGATGATACATTTTCTGATGACGAAACGTCAAAAGGTCAACTTAAGGATGCTGTCTGACTCAGAATTTCCTCAGGATTCCAAATATGTAAAAATATATAGGGCATTCTATTTAAAAATCGAAAGTTGGTATCATTTCCGGCGAAATCGGAAGTTCTAAAAATTCATTTATAATCTTATAAGTGGCATTTTATATCCTAATTAACCAAGCAAAATTTTATGTGTCTATCTTTATAAATAAAAAAGTTACAGGGGTGCGCCTATTTTCAGATACACCCGGTATATGTGATATACAGGGTGTCCCAAAAGTCAACGATATCCTTTGGAGGACTGATAGACCAACTCATGACTAAGCAGAAAATCAAAATATGACCTTGATAAAAAATCGTTAGTTTTTGAGATATAGTCATTTTTATGAATTTTGTAAAACTTGACATCTTAGATCAGTTTTTTGAGTGCCACAGCTACAAAATCGACTATTGATTTAATTTTAAATTGTAATTAATATCAGTGCTATCCAGGGTTACGCAAAATAAAATATAATCTAAGAATATAGAATGCTGTAGTTGTGGCACTCGAAAAACTGATTTTATGTGTCAAGTTTCACAAAATTCATAAAAATGCCAATATCTTAAAAACTAATGATTTTTTACTAAGGTCATGTTTTGATATTCTGATTAGTCATGAGCTGACCTATTAGTCCTTCAAAGGATATCGTTGACTTTTGGGACCCCCTGTATATATCACTTGATACAACAATAAATCAGGGTTCGCAGATATATATATCTGCAAACCCTGATTTATTGTCTTCTTGCAAACCCTAAGGTTCGCAAATATCATGATATTTATATAAATATCCAATATATATCAATAATTGATATCCAATATATATCAAGTGATATATATATCACTTGATACAACAATAAATCAGGGTTCGCAGATATATATATATTAGGGTGTGCCAAAAAAACTCGAAATAGTTTTTTTCTTACTCTCCACCCAAAATATCGTAGAATATGTCCGAACAAATATTCTGTTAAAAGCGGAGCTCATAATTTCAATTTTAAGAGGTCCCTCATCGAATCTGAAGTTTTGCCGCTTAAATAGCACAGAAAACTGACCTTTTTTCCTTATTTATTCTTGCAACCTAGGACGAAATTTTTTTTTCATAAAATCCATGACCAAATCTTACAAAGCATTAAACTTGGACGAAAAAATCTTATTAAGCCGAATTTCTATTTTCATTATTTAATTTTTTACAGAGCTTTAAATTTAAAATTTTACGTTTTTTGCCTTTTTCAGCTAAACTATTGAAGTTAGACGAAAAAGTCAAATGGTAATTTTTTAGCTTCTCTGATGGACCACAAAAAAGTTTTAGGCGAATTTTTTATATCGTCAATATTCTAAAAGTTACAGGCGTATAAAGTCATCATTTTTGTATTATTATCTTTAAATTTAAAGCTATGTAAAAAATTAAATAATGAAAATAGAAATTCGGCTTAATAAGATTTTTTTGTCCAAATTTAATGCTTTGTAAGAATTAGTCATGGATTTTACGAAAAAAAAAATCTTCCTAGGTTGCAAGAATAAATAAGGTAAAAAAGTCAGTTTTCTGTGTTATTTAAGCGGCAAAACTTCAGATTCGATGAGGGACCTCTTAAAATTGAAATTATGAGCTCCGCTTTTAACAGAATATTTGTTCGGACATATTCTACGATATTTTGGGTGGAGAGCAAGAAAAAAAAAATATCGAGTTTTTTTGGCACACCCTAATATATATCTGCAAACCCTGATTTATTGTTTTCTATAGATTATTTTCTATAGAGAGTAAAATTAAAAATTTTAAGAAACACCCCCGCTGGCATGTCATTAAAAGTTTAGGAATCATTTATCTGTGTTTAAATCAAGTTTATTTATAATATAAAAAAATAGAATAAAACACACTGCCTAAAATAAAAACCAGCCAAAGAATTTTAATTTTGTATTATTGAAAGCCTATTATAATACCTACAAAGAACAGGTTTATTTTTATGATTTCCTTAATTTTTAGATTTTAAAATATGTTTGTAACCAAAATCCAAATTGTTAAACCTGTAGGTATAATAGGCTTTCAATAATACAAAATTAAAACTCCTCATATGCAGTGTATATTATTCTCTATTTTGACTAGTAACTTATACTGTTACCCATTTAATATTTGGGTGGCTTCATCTAAGATATTACCTAATATTGGTTGAGCATCCAATGTTTGTACTGTATGTTCAGAAGGTGGTAATTCTATAACAAACTTTTGAATTGTTTCATTGCCTGTAACACCATTTCCATTCCATGATAACAGTCCACTATCCAAATATAATCTAGACATTAACTAAAAAACATATTTTGATAAACCTTCATTATAATTTAACTTTAAACAGAAACTTACATGACGTCTCTGGTCAATAGTTTGATAATACAGTTTTGTAAATTCTTCTGCTGTCCTACATGCCAAGTCGATTTTTTCTTTAGTCTAAAATTTTACAGAGCTTTTAGCACAAGCATGTTTACAACCAAATTCAATTTAAATAAACGTTTTGTAAAATATGGCAAAGTGAAGATTAATTTTATTTAATATAAAATAAATCATTTATAAATACCTGTTCCATGTTGTAAATTTTTTTTAAACATCAACTCTGTTTACAAACACAAATCATAAAGCATAGAAAAAGGATATAGGTTTACAAATATCTATAAAATAGGGTTAGTTTTAGAGTTTAGGGATTTTGTTCATAAAACCTTTTGTTGGCTGCTTTGATTAAATATTATTGCTCCATCTCTTTTTAACTGTCACTGGGTAACGCGATAAAAAAAGATATACTACATACCTAGTTATTGTTTATATTTTGTTGTTATGAAAATGTTCTGTAAGAATGATCATTTAAATATAATTTCTAATTAATTATTACAATAAAACAGTGTTTAATTTCTCTTTTGTTCAATAACTTGATTTAATTTGCAAGAATTTAAAAAGAAATGTGCTATCGAGTGGGCGTAACTTCTCGCATGCGATCGCCAAATTATTGATTGCTATTTTGTTTTTTAAAATTCAAAACCAAATAATATAGTTTTCAGTGTGTTTTTAAATTGATAAAATTAAAAAATACAAAAAGTATTGTTATTAACAAATTATTGCTGTCCCCGCCAAATTTTATTCCGCATTTGGGTCACGTGATTCACGGAGACCAGTTATTTTTTTAGCCATGATGGCGCCAAATATTTTCTAGTTTTGTGCATTATTAATTAATTAGTTTGTGTTTTAAACCGAACATTTCTAAACAAAAATATTCAACTTTAATTTTACACAAAAACTTGATCCTTGTTTTCGCCTGAATAAACAGACTTTCGGTCGGAATGTGTAATGAGGACATATTGGTTATGCGCAGTGTTGCGAAGTTTTAAAACACATTTATCGTACGATAAACGATCCACCCCATAAATAGCGCATTTTAAAATAAAAAAACTTAAAATATACCTATATAAAAGCAACATAGGTTAATAAACCAGCATTATTTTTTAAATATTAAATCGATCGCGTAAATAATCTACTTGCATAAGGATATTTTGTATATTTACGTAGTTTTGAGTTGTATTGGGCCAATGTGTGCAAATTCTTGTAGGTATTAAAGAAAGTTCGAAATTTTTTAAATTTAGAATTGTTTATTAGATTCTATAGTTAATTAACTCCTACCTATCTATAAGATATACCTATCTTATAAATAGGTAGGTAATTATTTAACTACGCGAAAATATTAATGGCAAGTAGGTAATGCTAGATAAAACATGCATTTAACTTAAAAATTTTAAGTTCCTGTACACCCTTAAATTTGCCCATGCTTAAATAATTCAAAAATTATCGTATTTTGCGTAGGATTGCACATTTTCGATAGAAACTTAAATTATCCGTATGGTTACGTTATTTATCGTACGCTTGGCAACATTGGATATCATAGAAAGAGATGTAGATAATTCTTAAAACTTACTTTCATCGAATTAGTACATCTTTAATTTGGTAATAAACTAAATGCAATATTAAATAAGTAATTAAATAAAAACCAGAAGACCTATTTAAAACATCAACAGGAACAGGTCAATTTTATTGGCAAAATCCGTAAATGCTAGAGAGAGAAAGACGGAATTTAGCTACTTCGTGCTGCTGTGTCGACGACTGATTGAAGCGCCATCTATATTGTCAATGTTGTTAGGCTTACCAAATGGAGTCTAATGGAGTCGATTTAATTAAAATCCTCTGAAAACCAATTGAAACTATGAAAAATCCCAAGAAAATGGTAAAGAACTGAGAATATTATTATCTAGTTTATGTTGAATAAGTGTAAAACGCAGTGGGTGCAAGTGATAATGTTCTAGTGCAAATGTTTACAATGTAGACATGGGAGCCACCTCTGCTGTTTGTCATGCTATTTTACAACATTCTCACATGTAATATTGAGTTTATTGTTAAATTATTGAAAACTTAACAATTCCTGGATGCGAAGCAATATATTATTAATGAGGAAAGCTATTAAAATAATACACAAACTCTGCTAAAAACTTGCCATAGGCTATCTCAAAATCATTTTTATTTTAGTGTTTGGGATCTATAATGCTTCTTTTGTTATTATTTTAGTACTTCCTTACCTTATTAATAGGTACTTGTTAGACTAGCCCAAGTACTATTAGTTCTTAATAAATATATCTTGTTTCAGATATAAATATGTGTATTGTAATTAATCGAATAAGGAAAATAACTATGTAGTGAGTACCTTTTCTTATTAAATTATTTTATTGGTATAAAATTTGTTCTTACTGTGTTATAGTGGTTTTAATTAATAACATTTTGTAGGTCGTGCAGGCTGGAAAATTCTGCTTGCACAATATAAGTGCGATGTCACAGAGAGTTAAAAGGCCTAATCGTTCTGAAGATGGCTCTGTTCCGGTTAAAAGGCGCAAGGTAACTTTTTGATTTAGTTAATAATGCTAGCATGTATGTTGTTTGTTATCTATGGTAGAGTCCTTAAGTATAAATTTATACTTTTTAATGTTTTTTGCTAAGAGAAAGAAATGCAACACAGGATATAAGAAAATGCTTTATCTGGATATGCCAAATTTACATTTTATTTTAAATTTTGTGAAAATATTTTTTTAGGTTATTAAATTTTTAGTTTTTAGGATTATTTTAGTTAAATAAAGGAGGCCTGGAACTTTTTATTATTTTTCATAGTATAACTTTTTTTATTGGTTTAATTTCTAAATATTTAAGTACAAACTACAGTTTATCACCATCATTCTAGTCTTAACATGAAGCAGATTAAACCATCTTGGTCAATATAAAGTAAAAGTATACATTTTATATTTTTCTATTGCCATCTTACATAAAAATTTTAATGAAATTAACTTAGCAGTGCTCCTCAAGTAAGCTTGGAAAATTTTAAAACCGTGATATAAATATTAATAATATTTTTATCATGGTTTAAACATTTGGTGGAGACAGAGGGACCCGGTATTAAGGATATTTTTATTAAATGTAAAATACTTATAGCAGTATTTTTCCAAAATGCAAGACAAAATTGTTAAATTGACCCCCTCAAATTTTGTCAGGAAAATATATTACAAGAAATTGACACCAACATCTGATACAAAATATATGGTCTAAGGATTATAAAAAAAAAATGGAATGGAATGGACTAAGGTAAAGCCTTAAATCGCTTATTTATCAACATTGTATAACATTTATTATATTTTTTAATGATATGTCCATGTATTGTATGCTCTAAGATACTTTACCTTAGAGTATATTAAAAATGGATACACCTTAGAGCATTCCATTCCAATATTTTTCTAATAAATAAGTCTTGTTGATTTTTTGTTCAACTTATTTGAACATAATATATAACATATATTATATTTAAATCAAATATTGAAATATTTGCAATTTACCAGTTTGGTATTTTGTTTCTTATATTAAATTTAAAAAAGTCTGAATTAGGTATGACTTTTTTATATTAAAGTCAGTATTTTTTCCAGCCCTATTAATTGAAGACATAAGTGTATAAAAAGTGTTAGTGACTCATATCACCGTTAAAATTAAAAGGCCTATCTAGGAGAGCAATTTAAATAAAAGTTATAGGTACTATTTTAAACATTTTAAACAATAATTATACAATAAATATAACAAAAATAAAAATAATGAAATGTTTATTTAATATTAAGTTCCTACTGTTTTAAACTTGGTAATAACATAAAAGTTAATCTAATAAATATTGTCAAATTGTATGTACTTGGTCAAGAACACTTTATATAAAGATTTCTTGCACTTGATTATAATATTTATGACAACAGTCATATTTGACAAATTAATCTTTTATTTAAGTATTATAATGTGTTTGATTGTGTAGTTACAATATTATTACTTTTTTCTGTGCAGCGGACGGCGGCCGAGGAAGAGGAAGCGGCCACCCTGGCTGCTGGAGCTTGGCAGCCAAGATCAAATGATTTAAAAAGCATATACAATCGGACAACCACCGAAGCTCCAGCAGAACTATTCCGGAAGGATCTTATTAGTGCTATGAAATTGCCGGATTCAGAACCGCTCGCCTCAGATGAGTACTGGGTTATTGTTGACCAGTGGAAACAGGAATGGGAACGGGGTGTTCAAGTACCTGTCAATCCAGACTCCTTGCCTGAGCCTAGTGTTACTGTCAATCACTGCAACAGTGTCAAAGTTAAACAGGATTTTAAACTGTAAGTTAAAGAGCTTTGTACATTATTAATTTGTTATTTTATGAATGCATGCAATTATAATTATAATAGCAACATCCTAATTATGATGGGTTAATTTTAAATGTCCTTTAATATGGTTTAAATTTAGTAATGCTTGAAAAGAAGCAGTATTGAACATTTATACAGGGTTTTTCATACCAACACTAAAGAATTAATTTACAAATATTTAATTTATACCAATATAATAATTAATGCAATAAGAAATAAAGCAACACTTTTTTGCATGTATGAAAAACATATATATATATATATATATATATAACCTCATAGTGCAAACAGTGGCTTTACATTTGAGTTGCATACATTATTTTTTCTAATACCATAATAATTTTATAAATTGAGGCGTGGAAGTATGTACCATTTTTTTGTTAAGATTTTTTGTTAAAAAACATAGTATGTTTCTAACAAAAAATGGCACATACCCCTTTGTACTCCCACACCTCAGTTATAACTAAAGCCCGCTGCACAATAGCCCGGTAACGGGTACGGGAACTGAAATCCTAAGATTAAAGGTGGGAGAGATTAAAAAACCATTGTTGATAGATAGGGCTCACACTTAAATTTTTTTTCATAGAAGCGTTTTTGAGATATGAATTTTCAATTGTTTTTTTTTTAATTTTCTGAGGTGTTTTGAGGTTTTAGAGTATACAGTATACAGTATACTGTATACTTCGAGTTCTAATTGATTGATTTGACCAAACAAGCACTTAAACCCAAGGCAATTGAGCCTTCTACAATTTTATCTTGTATATTTTTGGTATCGTCCAGTAGTTCGATGCTAGCTATAATAATAATAATAATGCTTTATTGAACTAAAACCAAGTTCAAAGGCTATTGACCGTAGTCCTTCAGCCGATGAGTTTACAATAAATTTTGATATAAGTATAAATATAACATTTAACAGTATAATCGTAACATTTATAAAATCAAGGTACTTATTTAACAAAAAAAAAAAAAAAAAAATACATCTAGTGTTATGGAGCATTATGGAATTTTATTAATTTCTCCATGGTGGTTTCTACTGGATGTTTGTGTGTAGATTCACGATTTTCTCGTTCTATGCAGTAATTATTAAGTATTTCGAAATTAATGTCTTTTTTGCTAAACTTTTCTGCCAACATGTTAATTCTTTCTTCTATTGGTTGAATTTTTGTTGTTGTATAGAGTAGGATATTTGAGGGGTTAAATAAAGGATTGTTAGGGTGGCGGATTTTTGTGATTGTTCGTAGGGAAGTTGTTTCTGATGTCTTTAGGTTCTGCATAGCTGGTCTTTTGCAATTTAGAAATAGGATAAATCCGTACTCAATGATGGGCCTGCAGATCATTTTGTATATTTTTGTGCTTGTATCCATACTAATGCCTGAGTTTTTGTAGGTTAAACTTCTAAAATGTTTGGACCTTGTGATTATTTTCTTTTTTAACAGTTTAGTATGGCTGTTAAAGTTTAATTTTGGATCAAGAGTTATTCCTAAATATTTAACTGCTGGTGATGCTTGGAGTATATGATTATTTAATGAAATTGTTGGTGAGTTATGTGAAATGTTATGGTTGAAAATGATCATTTGCGTTTTATTTGCATTGATTTTAAGCCTCCATTTATTAAACCATTTCATAGTTATGTTTGTCAATTCTTGCAATTTTTGAATAACTATCCCCAAGGTTTGGCCGTGTGTTATTAGAGCGGTGTCGTCGGCAAATTGCAGCATGTAGGACGTATGAGAGAAGTAATGTATGTCTTCAAATCGGTGATGGTAGATGTCAGCGCAATAAACATTATATAAAAAAGGTGAAAGTGGAGATCCTTGGGGTAGCCCTTGTTGAGTAACAAATGAATTGGAGAAGTCATTGCCAATTTTAACCCTTAATTCTCGCTTTTCTAGAAGTAGGCGTACTATATTAATAAGGTGAATGGGGCAGTCCATTAGATGTAGTTTATACAACAATCCTTTAATCCATACACTATCAAAGGCCTTGCTTATATCCAAAAAAACAGCGGCAGATTTAAATTTGTTTAATTTGGATGTTTCCACGTTGTTTAGTAGAATTGTAAGCGGATGGACGGTTGACATATGAGGTTTAAATCCAAATTGATATCCAGGAATTTTTTCTAGCAGTTTATGCTCTAATAATTTTTTCATAACTTTCTCAAAGTTTTTTCCAATTACTGGAAGTAGCGTAATTGGCCTATAATTGGAGGTTAGGGTGTGATCGGTATTGGGTTTTGGCAGTGTAATTATGATACCTTTTTTCCATTCATTAGGAATATGCTGATGTTTGATGCAATATTTGTAGATTTTTATTATGTATTCGTGAATCCGGAAGTCTAGCTTTCTGAGTATGTTTCTGGTAATATTATCATGTCCCGGTGCAGAATTTTTCCCCGATTCTAGAATTTCGTAGTAATTGTCCTCTATAAATGTATCCTCATCCAAAATCGGAATCATATCATTAAAAAACAGTCTGTACCAGTCATCTACAACCCTGTAATGATTACCATCAAACCTGAAATCGTTGGTTTCCTTGTAGACTCGTTCGAAATTTTTAGAGAAAATCTCGCACTTCTCTTGGTCAGTATTATAGGTTACCCCTTGCTCTATTATTTCGCTGTTCTTAAGTGCAGATCTTTTATATTTTGAAAGTTTCTTAATATCTTGCCAATAAGATTTGCCTTTTTTTAAATTTATTTCTCGACATACTTTTAAAAAACAATTACTTCTATATTCCCGAATTAGATTTTGAATGTTTTTATTAAAAGCGTTCATGCTAGTCTTTAAATTTGGGTCTCCTAGTTCTCTATATTCCCTATACATTTTGCGTTTTCTTTTAATAAGTTGTAATATAAACGGAGGTAATATGTAGTTGTAAAATCTTTGATTAATTTTGGGTGTATTTTGTAAAATAGAATTTGTTAGTTCAGTATTAAATTTTGAAATTTCATTTGGGTCTAAATTTTGGGAATTATTGATATAACTTATAAGAGTCTCATTTACTTTTTTTATTTTTGTTTTGTTAAAATTATATTTTGTTATCGGGCTAGAGTTGTAATATTTTTCGGAGTCAATTTTAATTTGTAGACTTAGGTGATCCGAGCACAGATCCGGTGTGACTTCTACACTAATAATATTACTGGAAATATTTGCTGTATACATTAACATATCAGGGGTAGTATCATTATTTAAAGGCATTAAAAAAGTTGGAGGTAAATTATATTTCAGAAATTGTGAATTTTGAAGAAAGTTGCTTATTTGTTTTTTCTTATATTTATTCCCACAGTTGAAGTCTCCTATGATAATTGAATATTTATATAGACTTGCCATCACCAAAATATTTTCCTCCACTCTCAGGTTTGGATGAATGTATACTAAAAATATGTGCAACTTTTCGTCTTTAAAGGGAACAGTAAAGTGGAGACATTCATTGATAGGGTTATTTAATCTTGGTCTATTAGCCTTACCCATGATAAGATCCGGATGAAGTTGTACTAGACTTCCACCTCGTGTGTGATTATTGGGTTGATAACCGTCTAGTTGTAAAACTGACCAATTTTTGTAATTTGTGCTGGTGTTGCTATTGGTTTTGGATTCTACAAATAATGTGCAGTTTATGTTGTTCTCCTCAATGTACTTATTAATCAGATATTTTTTGTTGTTATAACTGTTTATGTTGGAATATAATATATTAATCGGTTTGAATTTGCTGTATATTTACCACGTTGTTTATAGATTCTGTTGGAGAATTTTCGCCTGTGATTAAATCGAACATTAGAATATACACTCTGCTACCGGAGAACACTGCAACTGTATCCACATTGTAATTGGCGACAAATCTTTTCCTAAGTTTTAGAATTAACTCTTCCCTATTGCTAGTTTTCTCTTCGTTTAATTCGTTGGTGTAGCTGTTTATGATTAGATCGTGTAGAGTAATTGGAGAATGTATACGGGATTTTTGTATGTCTTTAGGTAACTCATTTGATTTTTTGTTGATGGACTTAATAGGAATGTTCGGAATTCCTTCTAATGGTTTTGTAGGTCTCTTAGGGCATTGTAAAGACCATGCCTGATGTTCCAAAGAGCCACATCCAGTGCATTTTGGTGGTAACGTGGAGGTGCACTTGTTATCTGCATGAGTTCCGAAGCATTTTGTACATTTTCTTGGGGAGATACAATTTTCAGATGCGTGATCAAAGGATAAACATTTTTTACATGGTTGAGGGAGTGGAGCTGGAGGTTTGCTTGGATATACTGGGTAGTGACGGTATTTAAAGTAAAAACCGTGGGAGAGCAGCTTTTCGGAAGTGGAATTGGAGCTCGTAATTATTCGTATAAGAGTGGTTGGTTTGCCTGTTGTCCGGGCTATTATTCTTTTACAGAAGCGATGTTCAAGGTTGAGATTTTTAAGGGCTTCGCTAATTGTTTTTTCATCAATATTCAGTTCCATTGAAGCAATGACAACCGAATATGATTCACTTGGTGTATCTCTGGGGGGTGAATTGTTTTCGGATTTTTTGAAGCTGGTTACCTTTCCAGTGCTGACTAACGTTTCAAGGCTTATTTCTGCATTATCGTTATTGGTTTTTAATATAAGTCCTGTTTTCACTGTAAGAATTATGTCTTTTTCCTTGGGGTGAATTCTTTCCCAAATCTCAATAAATTCATCTCTATTCTGTTCAGTTGACAAAAAATAAAAGTGTTTGTATTTGTTGTAAGTTGATCCGTTCATTATTGGTGAGTATTTGTTGTTTACATATGAATGCTGGTTTTTGTTTTGGTTGGAATTCCTTTTTTTGTTGATGTATGTTAAGCTGTTGTTTTTTGTTGAATCGTTTTTGTTTTTATCGTCGTCTGTCGCCAGTTTTTTATTTGTATGAAAACTTGGTTCACCGTTTGCATTAAATCCCGCAAGTTGATATTCTGGACTATTGGGATCTCTTCCTCGTTTCTTTCTATCCTTAACAGGAACAAACACTCCATCACCTTCAATATCACTATCGTCCATTTTTTAAGAAGTCTAAATAACTGGTTAAATTTGCCTATAACGCGAGCGATGTGTACCGTGTACGTTGAACACTCGCGAATGTCGATGCTAGCTATTTTATTAAGTTGACAAAATCGAGGTCGAAAATTTACATATCTTTCTAGGAAAGATAAGTCCAGTTTGATTTGTTTTACGTATAGATGATACTTAAAGGAAAAAAATAAGCTGCTGTTAATAAAAATCCATGGATAAATGGCAAAGTTATGAATTTTTCAGTGGAAGATCAAAATTCATCTTTTCGAGACGTTTTTTCTTTATTCTATTGAATTATATAAAATTTAATATTAAACATTAAATATTGAACATTGAATATATTAAGTTTTATTTTGTTGTAATAAGCATAGGTTTAAAAAAATTCTGACTCCTTTGTTTTAATTGCTTTTGTATTCCGTTTCTTGTATGAGGGACCCATCATGGCTGCATCCTAGAAGCCGTCATTCATTTGCTGGTGAAAACGTTGTTCGTGCTCATGACTTACGTCGCCCAGATTGGCCGGGTTATTTATGCACTTGAACAATTTTTATTAACTAAATAAACAATCATAAAATGCCTTGTTGAACTATCAAAAAATAACACTAAAATGTAACTTTGCCAACACGAGAAACAAAAGAATTCACGTTTGCGGAGTCATGTGAAATTTAAATTTTGAATAATGTTTTCGGTGAAAAAACTACGTAAAAAACTCAAAAAATTCCAATCATGCACTTTAACTAGGTTTTTATTAAAGAATAAACATATTAAAAAATAAAAGAAAAAAAATCGTCAAAAACCTGAATTTTGGTCATCCACTAAAAAATTCATAACTTCGACATTTATCCATTGATTTTTATCAATTAGTTTATTTTTTTTTGTAAAAATGTCAGTTTCACGAAAAAAAATTTAAACTGGAGTTATCTGTTTGATTTAAACCTATCCCCAGGACAATATGTAAATTTTCGACCTCAATTTTTGCCATAAAAACGAATTTTTTAAGTTATAAAAATCGCTAGCATCAAAATGCTTTTCCGATATCAAAAGTATGTAGAAAAAAGTTTTAGAGGGCTCAAATACCTTCAATTTAAGGGCTTGTTTGGCCAAATCGATCAATTAGATTTCAAACTATACTAAAAAACGACAAAACACCTCCAAAAATTGAAAAGAAACAATTGAAAATTCATATCTCAAAAACCCTTCCATAAAAAAAATTTAGTGTGATTTTCGTGTTTAGTGGGTCAAAATACATGGTAAAATTATAATGGGATATGGTGGCAGAATTTTTTTTCGATTTTGTATTTAGTTTTATTTACAATTACAATGGTATACCAAATATTTTATATTAGAAAAACAAACATTGGCCTTTTGAATATTTGCATGTATATTCTACAGGCCACTGCACAACAGCCTGGAAACAGGAACCTGAACGGTATAGGTGTAACAGACTCAGCACTATTGATCAACAGTGGTTAGTCTCTCCCACCTTTACTGTTCAGATTTCCGTTCCCGTTACCGGGCTATTGTGCAGCGGACTAACTACAAAAACTAGGTACTAAAACATACTAAAAATTCTTGCTTATAATCTTATAGTCATATGACCAGGTAATTTTTTAATTTAATATTTGAAATGCTCTATAAAAAATATTTTAAACTAAGCATATGGGACACATTGGCAATATTAACTCTATTTTTAAATTAAAATTGTATAATTATTGCAGAAGTTTAAATACAATTTTTTGTTGTCCATATAAATTAACATAATCCAACAAAAAAAATGATTACTAGTAGGTGGGCTTTAAATAAGGGATTTAAAATTTGAAACGTTCATCTTGCCACAACTTTACCATAACAATATTTACGAAAATTGCTTTAATTTTGCTGTATTTGTTAATTTACTTTTGATTTAAGAGTAAATATTTGGGTTTAGTAGTAGGAAAATGGAAATAGTTTTAAAATAATATATTATAAGTACATTTAATATAACATTAACTATTTATGGTCATATTTTATAAAGGCGTTCGATTTATAATAATTCTTTTTTTAAAGGCGAGTTGTGAATTTGGAAAATTCCCGTTACCAGCAAGATGAACGTTCTTCACATTATTTTCTGTAAGTTAAAGATCATCTAGTCATTAGCTGCCATATTCATTTTACTATATAAATATCGAAAATTTTGTAAATCCTTATATATGCACTTAATTTTATCATTAATCATCTTGTTATCGCATAATATGTAGATAGTTTTATAATAGTATATTGTGCGACTAATGGGAGAGAGAAGTTTCCCCGAGCGTGGAATCCCCTTTTTGACCAATAGTCACACAATATTTTATACCGCAAGGAATTTAAATCCAAATGTCAAACATTTTTCACCTTACTTTTTTCCTATTTTAACATAAAGCTAACTTCAACCTGTGGGCGAAATGCTACTTCGTCACGGATTAAAGTTAAGAAATAAACAATTAGGGAGGGAATTTATTATTTTGCTCACCATCAGTAGGGCATAGGCGCACGAGCGGAGCTTACTGAGCGAGTTTTTAATAAATAAGTAATCTTGAGAAGTTTATAAACCGAATTGCATACTACATATTATCTTCGACGAATGCAAATTAAGTTAATTTTATTTGACATTTTATCCGACATCTAACAAGTGTCAATCGGTTTTTACCTCACTCTTTACCAATCTGACATCAGTCGGATGGGCTTAACCTCACCTTGTTCCAATTTGACATTTGTCAAACGGTTTTAACCTCAATTTTTCCAATTGTGTAACTTAATACACTAGTATATAAATGTAGGAGTAAATAATAGTATATTATGTATCAAGTTTTATAAACACCATTTTAGTTACGAGTTTTATTAGGCACGAGCGAAGCTTGCGACCGAGTGTTTATTAAAAACAAGTGTCTAAAGAAGTTAAAAACGAGCTGCATACTATACTTTATCTACAAAGAAGAATTTAAAGCCAATTTTATTTGTTATACATTTGGCATCTCGTCGCCTGAGAATTATAGTGTTCTATCTGCATTTTTTTAAAATTGAGGTTAGTCTTGTTTTAAGTCTTAAAGATGCATATTGTTCTATCTATATATAATTGGGGTAGAATTTGTACAGTTTAAGGCTTAAACTACAATTTTTACCCCAATTATATATAGATAGAACAATATGCATCTTTAAGACCTAAAACAAGATTAACCCCAATTTAAAAAATACTGGTTATAGAACACTATAATTCCCAGGTGAAGATCTGTCAACTTTAAACGGATTTAACCTCACTTTTCTCTAATTTATAATAAAGCTAACGTCAGCCCGCGACTAAGATGTCCAAAAGCCACTATTGCTGACTTAAACCCGTGACTAAAACGCCATAATATCACAGCTTGTCAATGTAGAAGTAGATAATAAAATTAAAGTCACTTCCGTGCAGGCTTTCGAGTAATCAGCTAAAAGGCGAATTGTGCATTTCAGGCCGAAGAACAAGTACATTCGCATCACGAAGGACGACAATTTTAAGCCGGAAGAGCATGAATTCTCGACTGCTCCGGCGCAGGCAGAGGCGGCTTGTGCGTACGATCTCGACGAGTGCGACGTCGCGTGGCTTAAAATTCTGAATTCGGAACGCGCGTCCGCAGGTCTCGGCTCCGTTTACGATGACCAACTCGAACGAGTAATGGAACGATTCGAGGAGTGTTGTTGGGACAAAATTCAATCGATATTGCGCGACGAGGAAGGCCTCGGAATCGAGTTTGACGAGAACGTAATCTGCGATGTGTGTCGGTCGCCCGACTCCGAAGAGGGCAACGAGATGGTGTTTTGTGACAACTGCAATATTTGCGTGCACCAGGCCTGTTACGGCATCACCCGAATACCGGAAGGACAATGGTTGTGTTGCACGTGTAATCTACGCAAGCGGCCGGAGTGTGTGCTGTGTCCAAACAAGGGGGGCGCAATGAAATGCACCAGGTCGGGTCAGAAGTGGGCGCACGTGTCGTGCGCGCTCTGGATTCCCGAAGTGAGCATTGGGTGCGTGGAAAAAATGGAACCGATTACGAAAATATCTTCGATACCATCAAGTCGATGGGCTCTCATATGCGTGCTGTGCAGAGAGCGGGTAGGAGCTTGCATTCAGTGCTCCGTGAAAACGTGCAAGACTGCTTACCACGTGACATGTGCGTTTAAACACGGCCTCGAAATGAGGGCGATCATTGAAGATGAGAACGCAGATGACGGCGTCAAATTGCGATCGTATTGCGAAAAACACAGCAAATCAAGCAAAAAGGAAAAGAGTATATGTTCCGGTTCGGAGGATGACGATTGCAAAAGAAAGAAACGGAAAGACATGACTTCGGAGGAAAAGAACCAAGCTCGCGCCGCTCGCCTCCAAGAAATCGAAGCAGAATTTTACAAACATGTTAGCGTTAAGGACGTTGTCGGAATTCATTTGGACGTGGATAACGAAGCACTGCAATATATCTACAATTACTGGAAACTTAAACGGAAAGCGGGCCACAATAAGCCTCTTTTGCCTCCGAAATCGGAGGATGTGGATATGATTTCTCATAAGCGAGAACAAGCCGATTTAGAGAAGATGAAAATGTTTGTGCAATTAAGGCAGGACTTGGAAAGGGTGCGGAATTTGTGTTACATGGTAAGCCGGAGAGAAAAGCTTTCACGAACATTCTTTCGCATGCGCGAACAAACTTTCCACAAGCAAGCAGAGGTGCTGGAATCCTCAAACACTTTACCATCAACAGTTATTCAGGCCGTTATCGAAGCTAATCACGGACCGTCGATATATGATCGTTTGTATTCGCACGATTGCGAGGACCATACCTCCGATTTCGACACAATTTTGGCGCGAATAGCCGGCATCAAGTCCCCGACCCATTCGGGCGACGAAAAGAAGTACGAAGTAAATGGACTATTTAAAGACGTTAAAAACAATCCCTACAAAAAGATATACTTTAATGGTTCTTCAAAGAGAGGAAGCGGCAGTTTGTATGGCAGCGGCATGTCTAGTTCCAACAGTAGCAGTGACGAGAGGAAAGATAAGGAAAATCGATTGCAAAGTAGCTCCGAAGATGAAAAACCAAGCGTGTCGGCTTCACTGCCTGTCCGCAAAAAATCTATATCTCCTGCAAAGAAATCTCCTAGCAAAACTGTCGATAGAAAGAAAAAGCCGGTGCGTTCCAAACCTAAGGTTGATAGTAGCAGCGGGGATGATGTAAAACCAACGAAAAAGGATTGGGGACCACTTTCTAAATCGCGACTAAGCCAAATGGATCGTGAGCTGGGCGATTCAGGCACAGAAAGTGACGATTTACTGTTCAGTTCTAAAAAGAAAAATGATCGCATGATTCCTTCTATTTACTCGGACAGTGACTCTTCTTCAAACAAAAATGACGATAAATCATCAAACGCGACCAACGATTCTCAAAGCAAAGTTCGAACAAAAGCTGCTGTTAAAGATTTCACTCATAAACCATCATCGTCCAAGAGTCCTAACAAAAGTAGTCCCGAAAACAAAAAGAAATCAAAAATAGAAGAATCCAAAAAGAAAGACTATGTTCCTTCAGATCTTATTGTTCCCCAACGGCAGGCAGCTAAGAAAGCCACTGAAAATCTTAAATCTACCACAGCTACCAGGGCTAAAGAATCCGTGCCCACTCCAGATGAGCCCAGTAAATTTGAAGAAAAAGAAAAGGTTGATAAAGTTAGCAAGACCATATCAAAGGTCAAGTCAAAACCTGAGAAGAGAGAATCACCTGTGAAAGAACACAAAAAGGAGACAAAATCGCAGGCCGATATTTTCGACATCGAAAAGGAAATTGAAAAAGTTGATAGCCCTGAAATATTGGCGTATGTTCCTCAAAGGCAGGCAGCAAAGAAAGCAGCAGAACACATTAAGAGCGGTTTGGGTAGTAAACCTGCTGCAGCAGTTGAATCAACGGCCGCTGATAATGACAAAGTGAAGAAAGACCAAGACACCTCAAAAAGCAATTCAAAAGGAAATAATAAGAAAGAGGTGGCAGAACCGGAGAAGCCTGCCAAGGTGCCAGAACAAAAACGCAAGTCTTCCTCAAACAGCAGTTCGTCTTCCTCGTCCAGCTCTTCCACAGATTCGTCGACAAGTTCGAGTTCAGAAAGCGATGACGAACCAGAAAAAGCATCGACAACAACAACAAAAACAGTTCAGCAACCGCGATCGGAGAGTCCTTTCTCATCCTTATCCAGAGAAACGACAAAGCGGAGTAACGTCAAGGACTGGCCCTTTCTTGACAAGGGATCCAAGCCCGCGGCGTCCTCTTCTTCTTCGGACTCCAGTGATTCCAGTCGTGCCTCTTCCCCTAAAAGAAAGTCCTCTCCCTCACCCACCCCACCACAACCACAACCTGCGCGCGTCCAAGAAACAACAAAGCCTGGCAGCGCCAAAAGCCCCGACAAGAAATCTTTACCCGTTAAAAGAGAGGAGCCCAAGAAATCACAACAACAACCTGCTAAAAGAGAGGAACAGCCGCGTGGTCGCGGTCGAGGACGACCACCACGAGGCCGCGGTACGCGCACATCCGATGCTGGTGATCGGCTCGGAAATGCTGATGTCGGGCTTGGAAATCTGTCTGATGGCCAACGTGTCGATGTGGAAAGAGAACACCAACGAGTACCGTCTAGAAAAGGTAAACTCGATAAGCCCGAAAAAGAGAGCACTGAGTCCAGTAAGCTACTCTCTCCGGTCAGGAAAACGGACAAGAAACTAAAATCCAATGCTGCTGTAACAATACCTGAAAAAGAGATGTCGGATAAAAAGGGTAGTAAAGACCGAAAGTCCTCAATGGATAGGCTATTTTCGACGGATAGAAAAACGGATAAATTTGATTTACAGTCGAAACCATCTCCAGAAAAACATTCCAAGTTGGATAAACAAGCAGACAAGTCCATTAAAACTCCTGAAACAGACAAAAATAAATCTCTTGACAAGGAAAGAAACAAATCCCTTGAAAAAGAAAGAACCAAATCTGTTGAAAGAGAAAGAAACAAATCTCCTGAAAAAGTGAAAAATGACGTTGAAAAAACCTTACCTTTGGAAAAACCTATCAAACCAATCGAAAAATCAAACACAGAAACAGAAAAAGTATCTTCTCCCAAGAAATCTTCGCCAATTAAAAAGTCACCAGTAAAATCTAAATGTATTGATGATATATTTGCCAATAAAGTTCATAGTATGGATAGTAAAGAAAACAAGGTAACTACAAATCAAATTAACAAGTCATCAGAAGACATCTACATACTAAACAAAATAATCGAAGATGATTTGAAGCAGCAAAACTCGAAAGAAATTCAAAAGTGTACAGTAGACTACCAGAAACAATCTTATAAGGAAAAAGAAGATATAAATAAGTTGCCAGATTTGGTTTTACAAAACCACTTGAACTTAGATTTTGACATTGATAGTTTTGGTGATAAGGATGAAGATATTATCAAGGGCTTTTTGCCGTTTCCTGTTAACATTCCAGTTATCAAGGGTGACACTAAAGAGGACAGCGCCAGGGAAACACTTAATTTAGTTGAAAAGCTACGAATGGGACTATCAAAAAAGTCGAGCAGCGATGTGGAGGAACTTCTTCCTTCTGAAATGGAAAAGGAACAAGAGGGACCTGAGTCTTTGCCACAAAAATTGTCTGATAAACAACCTCCAGTTATGCATTTGCCCAACAAACCTGATAGCAACCAAATTGTTCCACAAATTTCAGAGAAGAGGTATGACAACACATCTGATTATCCATATTTGGGTAGCTCAGTAAGCTCCGACAAAAATATACCTCTTCAACAGACAAGTCAAAGTCTAACTGAACACACAATACCCATACAGGGCGACGAAAGATGGGTACCGCCTAGCGAATATCCCAACATTCAATCTGCTACCAATTACCTTAATGACACCTTACCTCAAATCGAGCAACAATTTAATTTGCACGCTTACCAACCAAACGAACATCACAAACCGCAACAAGCTCTGGGAGTTTTGCCCGCTCACTTAGACGTAAGACTGCAAGAGGAATCGCTAAAGAGCCAACAGTCTCCGTCACTTCACGATCGGAGAGTCACGCAAACGCCGCTTATAGATCCGACTTCGATGGATTGCATGCCCAGTCCATCTCCCTACGGAGATATTCATCCGCAGGCCAAATGGGCCGACAGTGCTGTCATTCCGAACCGAAGATCGTCGTCCAGTTCTGCTGCATCGACTTCTAGCTTATGCAAGGGTGATCAAGAAGAGGACCAAAAGAGCAGGACCGATTTGCTTATCAACCATCCTCCGCAAATGGACCTTAACAACGTGCATCCGTACTTGGAAAACTTTCCTGCCTATTCAGAAAATTCCCAACAGTTTGTTAGTCCTGTCAGTTTGTTTCCTCCTCCGAATATTAATAATGCTCAAATCCCTTTCCCTCCAACAGGCCCTACAATGTATCCACCCCAACTGGGAGCCCCTTTTCCTACGCCTCATCCTATGCCACCTTTACCAAAACCTGTCGAAGAAAACTTACCACCCTATTCCTCGACCTGTACCGCTGCCTTTACATCGTCCGAACATAATATGGCTCTGACGGCGGCAATGGTCAATCTACCCACTACAACTGCCATGTCAAGACCAGATGTGCCTGTGACTGTGGCCGTACCACAATCGGAGCCCATTGTCGCATTACAACCTTTGCCGCCAACCTTAGAGGTTGCATCGCCGGCACAGAGCACTCCTACCTCCAATGCTACGTTACCCTCACCGAGTTCGTCACTTAAGTCCAATAGTTCTATCGGTAAAAAATCGCCCAGCAAACCAACAAGGACATCCGCCAGGGTCACTTCTCAAGTTAACAAATCGCCCAGCAAAAGCCCGGGAAAAAGTCCACGCCAAGAAGCTGTGTTCAAGCAATCTTCTGGCAGAGGCAACAAACGAGGATCCGGTAAGCACAATTATTATTTTTATTTATTATTAATTATAATTGATATTATTTATTGGTAAAAAATTTTTTAATAGCCTTAATTATTAGATGGGTTTGAAAAATTACAATAAAAAGATTTTTTTATCTGACATGTCAAGAATATTTTCCTAAAGTTTTTATTTAGTCAATCGAAGTAAAACTTTAGGAGATATTACATGGGTTTCAAAAATTAAAACAAAAACGATTTTTTTTATCTAACATGTCAAGAATATTTTCCAAGTTTTTAGTCAATCGGAGTAAAACTCTAGGAGATAGATCTTTAGAAACTCCTCCCAAAAGGCCCGTTTTATTACTATTTAAACTTTAATCGCTTTTTTCTCAAATTTTATTGTTGAAGTACAAGCTTCTAACACGATCTAGGATCGTTTTGGATCATTCAAGACCATTTAATTAGCAGACAGGATTTCATTCAAAAATAGCGCGAGTGACGATACTGATCTTATTGAAATTTTGCACACTTCTTCTAGATGAATTACTAAAGAAAAGATTTTAGCACAAGCATGAAAAATGATTTTTTCACAAGTGTAACAATGCTTTTTCTACCACGAACATATAATATAATACCGTGTTTTTACCTGATGTTTTTTCAGAATTTTATTTGATATCTGAGAACTGGCAAGCGGTTTTAACCTCCCTTTTTACAAGAGATGGCAGATGCTCACGCACTTTTAGAAGTGTCCATAAATCCTCAAATATGCTTATAAATGCTCGAGAACTATTTACTGGTTAAGTTTTGGCGGGAAACTCAAATATCGAGCTTTTTAAAAAGCGCTCGATCGCTATTCGAAGATTTATGAGCAGTTTTAAAAGTGCTTATCCTTTTCTACTTTTTACCAATCTGACTTTCTTTTTTCATAAAAACTTCACTTTTCATTATAATATATTATATATATATTATTATATATTATATATTATATATTATATATATATTATAGCCTTGCAAATGAAAATACTAATTTTCGACGCCATAAGAAATTAACTATTACATAGTGGTCGTAGGAAAGAAAATATAACTGTTACCAAATGTTGAAGATAAAATCGTATACAAACTTTGGTAGAAAATTTTATTCCTGTTTCGAAATTTTTTGGTCAATCTCTCGATGAAACACTTCCCACCTCAGTAGGTAATATACTACGAGTATTACAAGGCAATATATCATTTAAATTCTCACCTACGGACAGAAAATATTTGGTTTTTTAATTTTGAATAAAGCTTTACCCTGCTTAAAATACCCTATAGAGACCCTGTTCAAACCGATAGATATTTGTATCGGAATGTATGGTGTTTCTATAGGGTGTATTGGTTTGTATAGGACCCATAGTTGGGATTTATGGTTGTTCTATAGGGATATCCCTATATATCCTTCATTGAGTTATTTGCTATTGCTCTCTATAGGGAAAATCTAAAAGTTATGGTGTGCCTATAGGCAGAGCTGTGCGGTACTCGAGTACAAGTACTCAAACACTGTACTCCAAGTACTTTCAGTGTACTCGGTACTCAGTCCCGAGTACTTTAATTTGAATGTACTCATACTTGTACTTGATACATTTAAGATTGCAAAAATGTACTCGAGTACTTTCCCGTGTACTCGAGTACTTTCCCGTGTACTCGAGTACTTTTACATGTACTCGAGTACATCCAAAGTATGCAATGAGTACATTTTTATGCAGTGAGGTTGGCGTGGACACATATGTGCGTGGGTGTTGAAAATTTAGCAATACTGCTCAGACTTGTCAAATTACGGACATGCTGCCTGAGGCAGCATCAGCCAGCTTGACTCACACGACAGCCTTAAAACAGCCTCAATCAATAAATAAAAAGACAAAAAAAGAGCATTGAACAAAAGGTTTTTACTTATGTATGAAATGTAATTTTGTTTATATTTTGGTAGAAATAAGGTGACAATATTCCTCAAAAAGATAATTAAAAAATAAAGCTAAGGCAAAGTGAAACATGATACTAGCCGGCTTTGATAATTAACATAAAGCGAAATATCAATATTTGATGAAGGCAATAGGCCGGCTAGTGTTTAGTTTTGCACTAGTGATTCTAAATTCATTTCTTATTCGCCCCATTTCTCTAGCATTTTTCCCAACATTTCATAACTAAAGTGTACTCGGTACTTTGTACTCGTATGGGTACTCGAGTACAACGGTACTGTACTTGTACTTGGTACTCGAGTACTTTTATATAAGAGTACTTGTATTCAGTACTCGAGTACTTTTTAATTGTACTCGGAACAGCTCTGCCTATAGGTAATTTCCTATAAATTTTCTATCGGGCCGTATCCGGAAAAAACCATGGACAAATGCACATATTGAATCCGGTAGCGCCCGATAGATTATTTTATATAGGTCTCTATGGGTTATTTTAAGCAGGGTAATGAGTTATTCTGCCTACCGTGAGAAAACGTTTTTCCAATGGGTCTCTACAAACCAGCCCCCAACGGATGAAATTTTTAAATGATCTTTTTTAAATATATGTACTTTAAATGTTCTTTTATAATTTTAAAAGTTTAAATAAAGTTATTCCTTTATTATAAACAAAAATTTGACATGTTTTATTTTAGTAGTTTTTTCTATACTGTGCTAATACACCAATCTTGAACACTTCTTCTAGATGCAATGACTAAACTAAATATTTTTTTATCCCAATTTATTTTATTTACAACCATCTACGTAATGTTGACATTTCTGACTTTTCAAAAATATCACTTTTTAAACTTTCACTTTCTTCGACAAACACAAACCTACTATTATTAAGGCAATATTATGGTCTAAATTATGCTTTTTTGCATACAACTCTGCCACAAACTTAAATTTTCATTTTTTTTTTAATCCTTTGTCTAGTCACGAACTATACTCACACACTAACAGAAAATATTTGGTTTTTTGTTTTGTGATAAAGCTATAATGAGTTATCCTGCCTACCGCGAGAAATTTTTTTTCCAAAGGGGTCTCTAAAAACCAGCCCTCAACGCCTGAATTTTTGAAATATTTATATGATTTGTTTTTTTGTATAATTCTTCCATTATATTAAAAAAAAATAGAGAAAATTGATTAACATATAATCTGTAACTTTTGTTATTTAGCTGCGAGGCAAAATAGAGGACGTGGCAGAGGAAGAGGAAGAGGTCGACCATCATATCACGATCATGAAGGTTCTTCGATTCATCAGAAGCTGGTGGGCACGGTTTACGATTTTGATTTTGATGATGATGCCTCTAACGACAATATGACGGACTTAAAATCGATGCGTGAAAGACGAAAGTCGTCGGATCACGATCGCAAATTCGAATCTCCGTTTGCCGCGCGCCATTCTCCAATTAGTCCATTGCAATCTAGCAATAAAAACAGAAGTGTTAACGCAGATCTGCGTGATCTGCGCCCTCCTACCCCCATCGAGGATCCCAAACCGAATGCTGTTGCCGCACCCATGTTGGTGACGCCTGTTTTACCGGGACCGGTTGACATGAGAACCTACAATAGCGATTTCGATCGCCAGCAAGCCTACAACGACAACTTACTAGGCGCGTTCGCTAACGATGCCACGGAGGTGCCGGCGCATGAAGAAATCGACGAGGAATTCGAAAAAGAACTGCATTCGGCTTTGACTGCAAAGAAACCGGATCCGCCACAGCCCAGCGTTAAAGTGTCATTGTCTGATACGCGGAACCAGCTTAAGTTTAAAATAAAAGGACCATTCGCCAACAATTACACATCCCATCACTTCACCCCACAACCACCTATCGTGGAACCTGCGGTGTCTCACGTCACATCTAATTCCATATCAAACAACGTAAACATTTCGGCGCCCACCAACCTACCCAGGATGCGCAAGAAGGAGTTACTGCAACGCTACTGCAACCAAGATATGAACAACGACGACCCCAGCAGTTACTCCCATATAAGCACTATTCTCCCCAATCCAACGCTAAATAGAACCATAATTACCATTCCTAAGGCAGTGGCTTCCATGACAAGCATACCCACTAAAGAGGACTATCGGGATTACTACCAGGAAGAAGACTTGAAACACCACAGAAAAGAGTCGAAATCTCGAACGGGGCTAAGCAGAGAGTTAAAGCAATTGGACGTGAAAAACCAATTTTCGTTCGACGACGATCCATCTTCGGAGAGACGAAGGAGTATTGGTTCCGTGGGCTTGTCGGCCAGCTTCGATTCCGCCTTGACGAACAAGAGAAGAGGCAGACCACCTAGACAGCAGCAGCAGCAGCAACAGCAGCAGGTCACCCCTAAGTTGAAAATCAAAATTGGAGGCGGTAATAACAGTATTGTGGACGACAAGAAAGATCGTATCAGACCTCCCAAGAAACGACACTCGGCCACGGTGGTCACCCCCTCTGTTGAAGATATTATTAGAGAAAATAGCATGAAGTTTAGGAAACGAGTCATGGCCGATTTAAAATGCGACAAGATAAAAAAGAAGAAAAAAGACAGGAGCGAGAAAAAGAAAAAGAAGAAGGCCAAGGGCGAGATGCAGATTATATCGAACCAGGCGGTAAATCCCACCAAACTAATCATCCGAATAGGTAAGAAATCGAATGAAGGCGCGGGCGGTAGTGGTGGTGAAAGTGAAAAACGGACGAGCGTTTCAAACGAAACGGGCGGTGTTGGTGCGGATACGAAAGAAAATAAAAATGCCGACAAAGTACAAAGTGTAGAAAGGAGTCTGCCGAAGGAAGAACCAGTTTCGGGCGGTTCTTCATCGACGGCGCCGTCATTAAAAACAAGCAAAAGCAGTGAACCCTCCGCGTCCGGCAACGCAGGCATTAGTGACGCCAAGGATAAACCTCTTCCGAAAGTGACTCCGTTAAAACTGAAACTTTCGCGGTGCCTGGAGGGGTCCGGCTACGTGATGAAGCCGGCAACTTCGCAGTCCGGTGCAGAGAGGACAGTGGAGCCGGGCCAGCCGCCGCCCCCGAGTAAACCTCCGCCGGTGTCCGACGCCGTAAAGCAGCACCCCGCGCCCGCTCCGTTGCCGCTCAACAAAGACTGTGAAGTTAGATGATAATTATGTACCATAAATCCTCTTGATCTGTAATCAGTAACTCGGGTGCATGAACGCCACCCAAGCTACCACATGTTAGCTGGCACGTGCCGTAACGTGTCGTAGCATGTGGTAACCTGTTAAGAATAAGCAATACTCGTAGTACAGTCAATCTGTAGAAAAAAAAGCAGTTTTCTGAAAAAATTGAACAGTCATTTTTATGCACGAATCGGTTAGGGCTCATAAGAAAAGCTTAACCCAAACTTTGCGAGATCCTACCTCCTGCGAATTAAGGTAAAAACTATTTTTTTTTGTTTATTTTTTAATTTATTTTTATCAAAAACGTTACCTTGGTTTTGGAAAAAATGTAGGGGGCAATGTTTCTTAAAATTAATGTCATTGAGGTCCATAACAAAAAAATCAAAAAGTAGGTAGCGCTTAACTACCCAAAAAAGAGTTATCGCTTTTTTACCCCGATTTTTTTTCAACGGAGCACTAATCAAAAAAGTTGTTTACATATAAAAAACTTCAAGATTAATATTAACTTTTTTCTACGATAGACCGTTTCGAAGATGAACAAGTTAGCGAAGCACCCATACCCGATCGAATAGCCATATAATGGATAATTTGTCAATTTTGTCGTTTAATTTTTGTTTGTTTTTTAGTTGCTTTGATTTATATAAAGTTAGCAAAGCACCCCCTTTAAAAGTACTGTAGACAGCATATACAATTTTTTAGCAAAGCTCATAATTTGTCGTTAATTAGTCGCTAATTAGTTGTGCTAACATCAATTTTGTAGTTTACCTATTTTTTGTTTTATATGAAGTTAGCGAAGCATCCCCCCCTTACAAGTACTGTAGATGGCATATTTATTATTAGCACAGCTCATTACTTCTGCTAAAATAATTTTATGCCGTTTACTTTTTTTGGGTATTTCTTTTTTTCATATGACGCTAGGAAACAGTTCTTTAGACAACGTTTTGAAATTATCAGCAAACTAACAATACACGTTAATTAGTTGTGCTTAATCAATTTTGTCATTTAATTTCTAAGAATGCTTTAGACTACGTAGAAAAATTACTCCCTTAGCTCATATTTTCTCGTAAATTGGTCGGTAATTAGTTTAAAAATAAATTTGTAGTTAATTTTTTTGAAGATCTTTATTGGCAAACTAATTTATTTAATTAAAAAAACACAATAAATTACTATTAATAATTGGCAATGATTCAGATTACTGTAGTTTTGTGAGCGGAAAAATTAGGAACAACATTTTTTCTACAAGCAAGTGAATTTTTTATACAAGCGTGTGGAAAGTTGCTACTTATATTTTTTACTTGAATTATGTTTTGATTTTAATTAAAAAATACTAATTTGATTTAATAAACTTATTTCTGTATTAACGCATTTGCGTGCGCAAAGTAAGCGTGCGGAAAGGCACAACTTTACGCACACAAATGCGTCTAAATACGTAATAATTTGCGCACGTGAGTATAAAAACTAACAATTCTACTCGATTTGGACGCAATGAGAATAGTTGAATCTTTTAAATGTAAAAAACTTGAATGGTCGATACAAAATTACGAAGCTAAATGATATTTTTTGTACTGTTACTTTTTTGAAGAAAATGTCAATTTAAAAAGTTTTGTATTTTTAAATATGATTTTTTTCTAATTTATTTTGTTTCTTTAAAAAAAATTAAAAAACCCTCAGGATTTATTACCTTGAAATCTTCCTTTATCTAAAATACAATCAATAATTTTATAATTATATCTACTTTGTAGATTATGAAACAATCAGTGTTTTTTAACTTAACTCACAAACTACTCATTAGAAAATAAACTTTAGTCTTAATGAATCATTATGTAAAAATACAAAGCAACTAATTAACGACAAATTATGAGCTGTGATAAAAAAATTATATGCCTTCTACAGTACTTTTTAAGGGGTTGCTTCGCTAACTTCATATAAAGTTAGCAAAGCACCTAAAACAACAAAAAGGAAAAAACTACTAAAATGATTTTAGCACAACTAATTAACGGCAAATTATCCTTCTTATTCATAATTCGATCGAGTATGGGTGCTACGCTACATATTCATGGTGGGTGCTCTAGGACGAAAATTTTAAAAAGTACCCAAAATAGCATTTTATCGCCTTTTGACCCCGAAATTTTATTAACGCAGCAAGGACAAAATTGTTTAACTCGAAAAAACTTACACACTTTTTTCCTACGTTAGACCGTTTAGGAGGTACATCGTGCGGAATTTTGAGTATCGTATTAAGATTGAACAAAGCTTAATTAATTAAGTATGCGATATAACTACAACTAAAATACACAATTTTGTTGGTTCTTGAAATGTTTACCATTAAAGTGCTGGGTTAAAAAAAAATTATGGGTGGCGCCACCTACTTATTGAATTTTTCAGAGCATCGATCCAATGGCATACATTGTAGGGCACAATGCCCACTACACTTTTTGTTTACAAAAATTTTTTCTAAAACTTGAAATCCAAAAATAAAGAGTTTTCATCGTAATCCGCAGGGGACGGGATACCGCAAAGTTGGGGTTAATCTTTTGTTACGAGCCCGAAACGAATCATGCAAAACAAGACTTTGGAAAGCGACAGATTTGTTTCCAGATTGAGTGTCCTGTAGATTTGATGAATATTTGGGTGGTGCATCTGCAGTGTAAATATTTGTAAATGTAGGTGACAAGCGGGGCAGAATTGTACAGACGCTAGCCTAGCCTGCTAGATCACCTGTTTTATTATCCACGTTGTTAAGCTGTCTAATGTATGTGTAGAAAGGCTAAGCGAGCAGCACATGTATGTCGTTAATTTCAGTGTATAAAGTCAATTACAGCCGCAGACGTGTAATAATATTTTTGTACATATTGTAAGTTATGGTATTTGTGAATATAAATATAGTACTAATTTATATATTTCATTTAAAATGATTAACTCGTGTTGACAATTTTGATAGCTAGATTGTTATAGAATTTCTCATCAATTGTACAGAACAAATGGCTTGAGTGCAATTTTAGTGGTTGTTGTTATGAGAGCCATTAGATTTTATTATGTACAGTTTTTTATTTTTTAACTCCTTGTTGTAACGACAGTGTAGTATAAATTACTTAAAAGATTTTATTAACTATGTATAGTTATATCATAATTTTATTTTTTTATATCTGATATCTTTTTATAAGTGTATGTGTTGTATATTTTTACTTCAAGTATTAAAGCACAAGCCATTTGTTGTATTATGTTTCATGATACAAATAATGTAATAAATTCGAAAAAGTTGACAGTTTTCTATTTTCATTCTCGTATTTACATTTATTATTTAACACTGTAAAGACGCGCACAACTTCTTTTCCGTTATTTGTACATTTTTGTTTATAAACCAAATTGTAAAGTTCAGTGTATAAAGACCTCCTAAGATGTACACATAGTAAATTCATAATTATATCCAGTTTTATAAAAAAAATGTGTTCTAATTTTCACCCCACACCCATATTGAATTGATAATTGTTAATTTTTTCAAGAAATGTATTTTTAAATTTCTATACTGAAACATTGAACTCACAAAATTGTTCATTCATATTCGTACAAGTTATAATTTTAATTTATGTTAAATAAATTATTTATGATAATTTTGTTGTTTTTTCAAAATTATTATCCTGAAATTTTTAGTTACTACAGGATGTCCCGAAATTAATGCAACAAAATTTAGTCACAGATTCTTGAGACAAATTTAGGGGATACATATTTTTTATTTTTACGGAATTACAGTCCCCTCAAAGTCGCATATAAAAATAGTCTTTCTTATATCTCAGAACCCTGTTGTACGAAAATTTCTAAATTTGATATACAGGGATTTTATGACATGGAATCTGATGGTGTTTTTGGCTGGGGACCCCCTAGATGCTTTTTCGTAGGCCTTTGGAGCCACAAAGCTGGACGCGTATTTGAATTTCTGGAAAATTAACCCGTAAAAAAGCCCATTCAATTTAGAAACTTGTTTTTCTTTTTTCGTTTTCGAGAAAAATCGCAAAATGTGATCGAATGCATATCGAGATTCGTATATAGTAATTTTCAAGTTCGCTAAGTTATATTTTTCCTCACGCTACTACTACATTTTAGGAATATTATTTTTTTTCTACAAGCTAGGAATTTAATTTTTAATTTTAACATTTTTTCTACAATGCAAAATGCGGAAAGTAGCTCCTTTATATTGAATTATTTTAACAATATTTTTTATTTTAATACGGATGTCATTTATCGGCCCGACCAAAAAGGGTGTATCAGCGACAAATTGGTGATTTTGACGACAGAAAAATATGTATAGCGACCAAACAAATTTTTTTACGATAAATAAATCAATTTCAATGTAAAATATTATTACACGCCAAAATGTAGTATTGTAGGTACGCCAAAAGAAAATACCTCAATTAAAGAGAGTATTTCACACCAAAATAGACTGTTGCACGCTCAAAGAGGGCATCACAAGACAAAATAAACATTGCGCGACAAAATAATATGTACTTCGCACGATCCCTTGGGCACCTGAACTATAAAATAGAGCATTCTAGGATTTAACAGTTTATGTAACGACCAAACAATCTTAAGATTTCAAGATGGAAATTAAGTAATCTCCACTAGGGCAGCATCCATTAATACACGTCTATTTTGTAGTTTTCATTTTCATAAAAGTATAAAAAGTATCTTTGCTTTTTTCCCGAATCGGAATCAGAGCTACATATCATGTAGGTATTGTAATATTTTTTTTAAATAAGCTGATATATTACTACCGCCATAGTATTAAGTTGTAACTAAAAAATAAATGCAACTGGGTACTACATTTATATGAATTGTGTATATATGCAGTTGGTAGTTAAAAGGCAGCAAGTGGATTTTTGGAATTTGATTGATTTGAAGGGGAGCCTTTGCAGGCAGCACTTAGGCACACATACGGCCCATTGTGCAAACCCCCTTTTGGTGAAGCCCTGCCTTACCTTACGAGCCCGCAGCTTTTAAGAAAAGCGCAGACCCGTTCTGGTCGGGCATGCATTATTTCCTTTGGTTCCAAGTATCTGTCCCCTAGGTGTCTTAGTCTACTATTGACTAGAGCGTCGCATTCGCAGACTATATGCTCGGTAATTTTCGTCTACTTCGCTGCAGTACCTACAGTCCGTCTCGTTGCTGAGTCCGGTTTTGTGTAGGTGATATTTGACTACCCAGTGTCCTGTTAGGACTCCTGTGATGGTTCTCAGCTGGTTCCTGTTAAGTTTCAGGAATCTTTTTGCCTCTTTGCATGTAGTAGGACTCTTTATAAAGACCCTAGACTGCCTGAGGCCTTGTTGTTCACGCCATTTGTTCTGGAACTGGTCGTTAGTCCAGTTCGTGATCTTGGTTTTTACCAGACAGGAGGCGACCCCTATGACAGGTTCTGGCCCCGTGAAGGCCGTGTTGCTGCCCTCACGAGCCGCTGGTCTGCTTCCTCGTTGCCTCTGATGCCTCGATGACCCGGTACCCAGATAAGGTTAACCTTGTTGAGCACACTGAGTAGTTCGAGGGTTTTGATGCAGTTCAGTGTAAGTCTCGAGTTGACCTTTTCCGAGTGAAGAGCCCGGAGTGCTGCTTGACTGTCGCTGCATATGTAGATATGTTTACCCGAGTAGCCTCTCTGGAGATTCTCTTGGGCGCATATCTGGATGGCAAAGATTTCGGTCTGGTATACCGTTGGGTATCGACCTAGTGCAAGGCTTATTCTCGCCCCAGGTCGCTCTCCATATACACCAGCTCCTGCACCTTCCTTCATTAAAGACCCGTCTGTGTACCAGATGAGCCCTTCCGGTTTGAGAAAGCCTGGGTCAGGCTCGCTCCAGTCGTTTCTGGAGGGGAAAACAAACAACTTTATATCTCCTGAGGGGGGTAGACGTCTTTGGCATTGCATCCCTTCTTGTCAGAAGGGGGTCCCGGTTGATAGTCTCAGTCCAGGCCCTTGCATGCCCTGAGTTTCCCCCCCCGTGAGTCCACTGTCCCCAATCATTGAGTCTGACCGAGGCCTCCCGAGCCCGTGCCTCCACAAAGAGATGTAGAGGCGCCAGTCCCAGAATGGCCTCCATTGCCAATGTTGGAGTGGTTCTAAAAGCTCCAATTGTGCCCATGCAGGCAAATCGTTGGAGCTTGTCCATCTTCTTCCTGTAGGTGGGCTTGCTTAACGCATTCCACCAAACAAGGCTGCCGTATGTGATCATTGGCCTTATGACTGTTGTGTAAAGCCAGTGCACTATGTGGGGTTGTAAGCCCCAGGTGCGTCCAATGGTCCTTCTGCATGCCCATAGGCAGTGGCGTGCATACAATACAAGCAAAAAAGCATTGCTTACCTTGGAATAATTAAAATTTACTATTTTTTTTAATTTAATGTAGGTAAACCTACATAATAAATAATATTTAATAACTTGGGTTTTAAATATTTAATAACATATTTATTAACCAATTTATAGGTGCCTTTACTTTTGCCATTTATTGTATCAATGTGATACTATCACGGTGAAACGCAGATTCGTTTTACGTACTATCGCTAACAAAAAAAACTCATACAGCTTAAAAATCTAGTGTTCCTGATTTTCTATCATTTCGTTGGAGTAATTATGGCTTTTAACATGATACGTCACATTTGAAAGGTCTATAATTAAATACAAAGTTAGGTTGAAGTTTGAAAAAAAAATAATATTTCGTCATCCCTCTGTTTTTGTCAATTACTGCCCGCAAACGGCAAAGCATGGAAGTCGCCGTCTTGCTTTATCTAGTTCCAAATGGCTTCAATGGCTTGCCAGAGTTCGTCTGCATTGTTTGGTTGAAAATGTTGTTAAAAAAGTCATAATGGATGTGACAAAGCTCGATGTCAGCTTGACATTGACGGAAAAGTTTTATTCACACAGCCACAATATAGCTGTATGAGTTTTTTTTGTTAGAGATAGTATAAGCATCGCATAGAATAGATTGGGCAAGCACAAAATCTTATTTCGTATTCAAACGTACAGCAGTTTTAAAGCAGTGCTTTTGTGTAGGTGGGGGCAAAATTTGTTTGTGGAAGTAAGATTCTTACTGTAAAGCTTCGTACAGACCTGAACATTGAGCCGAACAACAAGCAGAACAACGAACCGAACGGCAAATGGCCTTTTTTGATTTCGACGATCCGAACAACAAACGGAACGTTCGTGCTGTTCCCATAATTGCTCGTAGTAAATCTCAGTTAAAGTTTTACTAAAGATGAAAAAAAGTGTAGCAGCAGCAGCTTATATATATATATTCATTATTCATTATTAAATCAAAAGAAAAAATGGTGTGGGTGTTTTGGTTTCCACAACAACTCTTTTTTTTTGATAAATATCAATTAGATCCAGAGATTTTTCTTCTGTCCACTCCATTTACTTGTGTTGAATTTTAATTATATTAAAATAAACAAACTCACTTAAAGGAGGAGACAAATAAACACTTAAATGAGAACAATTCACTGGTCTGTTCGCCGTTTTGTCTTGACCCGTCCAAACCTCCGAACGCATTCGCGAGCATTTCCTTTGATGTCGAAGGAAAAACCGACAAGTGATGGGAACGGGACGAACCATTCGCCGAACGGTCAGGATTCGCGAACATGTTCGCAAACGCGTTCGCAGCCCCGTCCAAATTAGTGTTCTGTTTGCCGTTCGGTTCGTTGTTCGGCTTGTTGTTCGGCTCAATGCTCAAGTCTGTACGAGGCTTAAGGCTTGTCTTGGGTGTGGGTGGCGATCAGCTGATTGATAAAGTCAATTTTAATATTTTAATAACCTAAAATAATAAAAAATGGTTAACCCGTAACCGGTACTGTACGACTTTCAGGTCATAAACGGTACTGAGTGGTCTGAGAGACACCTGCCTTTTAAAATTATAATTTATATTATTTTTTTTTATCTGAGGCTTTGGGGATACTAGGAACTATATATAAAGTTAGAATATCACCAAAAATAATACCTAAATAAAATAAAAATTTAAACAAATAGGTTTTAATCAAAACATGTACAAAAAGTGCAGTAGTGCAAACTTTGTGATTAAACTATAAAAAATATTAAACCAAACAAAATAAACCGATCTTTATTTCGAAGAATATACCTTAAAAAATAACATAAACAAAAAAAATTCAAATATATCTTTTTTAAACAGCAAAAATAACTGCTTCAAACTATAGCTGATTTTTACAATTATTTTTTCCGTAGTAACTTTTTTGTTTTTTTTTAAATTCCTAAAAAATTTCAAATTCTTCACCATCTGACCTCATAAAATTATTTTCTATAGACTCTTCACAGAGTCTGACACAGACAAGTCCTGAATCGCTGCTGTGATTATCTTCAACGACATAATCACTATAATGGTTATGTAATATACTATCGCTAACAAAAAAAACTCATACAGCTATATTGTGGCTGTGTGAATAAAACTTTTCCGTCAATGTCAAGCTGACATCGAGCTTTGTCACATCCATTATGACTTTTTCAACAACATTTTCAACCAAACAATGCAGAAAAACTCTGGCAAGCCATTGAAGCCATTTGGAACGAGATAAAGCAAGACGGCGACTTCCATGCTTTGCCGTTTGCGGGCAGTAATTGACAAAAACAGAGGGATGACGAAATATTAATTTTTTTTTCAAACTTCAACCTAACTTTGTATTTAATTTTAGACCTTTCAAATGTGACGTATCATGTTAAAAGCCATAATTACTCCAACGAAATGATAGAAAATCAGGAACACTAGATTTTTAAGCTGT